TCCCCTTCCTCTGCGGAAGCATAGTTCCCGCTCAGCCCAGTCAAAACTGTTCGCTGCTCTGGCACCCCAATGGTGGAACAAGCTCCCTCACGACGCCAGGACAGCGGAGTCACTCACCACCTTCCGGAGACATTTGAAACCCCACCTCTTTAAGGAATACCTGGGATAGGATAAAGGAATCCTTCTACCCCCCCCCCCCCCCCCCCAATTGTAAAGTGGTTATCCCACTGGCTATAGGGTGAACGCACCAATTTGTGAGTCGCTCTGGCTAAGAGCGTCTGCTAAATGACGTTAATGTGCCCTTGAGCAAGGCACTTAACCCTAATTGCTCCTGTAAGTCGCTCTGGATAAGAGCGTCTGCTAAATGACTAAAATGTAAATGTAAATGTTGATGTACTCGTCAGCACCTCCTCTCTCTCTCTCTGTCTCCTCCTTCTCGTCTCTCACATGACAGAAGAACAAAGGAACAGACAACAATTTAGTATTTTATGCATACTTATGTTCACATTCACGCTAAGAAATAAGCAAACAGCTTAACTCAGGAATATTATAAATAGCGCAATAACATTTTATTTTATTTATTTATTTAATTATTATTATTTTTTAATCCATCAACATATCTCTCATTCATCAACTCAACCGATGTCAACCAAACAGTTCCACAGCCAAGCAACAGTTAATTCAACAAACAGAACATTCGTGCAAGTCTCCCCCTCCCTCTTTGTCTGCTCTGAGACTGCGTCTGCCAGCAGTTCAGTGTAGGCAGGGGAGTGGCACATTTGTTCTACATAACTTTAAACTCATAAAATCCCACGCATGCGTAGTTCAGTCACCAATGCGATTTCAGAGTGAACAGAGCTCTCCCAAGCAGCTCTCTCCCAGCTAAACAACAGAGTAGACAGACCCGCTGTCGCTCCGTTCTCTCCCCCCATAGACAAACAGTAACACTTAACAAAACTCACAAACGAACACGGAACACAGAACATAGAACACAAATCCTACTTCGAAGTTTCTTATCTTCACTTATAGTAATCTGCAGATTTATAGTTATGTTGTTATCAATTACAAAACATCACTATATACTCTTAAAAACTCCTCCCTGTAGGCACATTATTTTTAATAGTTAATAAACGTTCTCTTTTTATAGAGACTCATAAGATTTTTAACCATAACTTACATATTTCCTTACAAAAAACTAAAACCCCTGTTCTCAACCAAAACATATATGTATATATCTCTAACATAGATCTTATCCTAACATGAGTCGACACACAGCTGGAACACATCAGAGACCTCTCCATGCACACACATGTAGCGGCTCTCTCCGTCTCATACACACACACACACAGGCTCCGTTCCTCTCATACACACAGTTCAAGAGGAATGCATCCGTTCAGACAATACACTAAGCATGCTACCGTCGCTCCTATTTCTCTTGTTCCTTCTAAATTTCTGCTACCTCGAGTTGTAGACATTCAATGAGAGGTTACTTCGGACATATAATTCGTCAACCATATTCCGAGAGGTAACATACAATTGAATATATCTTTCTACAATCCCCAGTTCCCTCTTGAGCGGGAGTCACTTCGTAGCCCATGAATGGAACGCTGAGAAAAGAAAAGATGCAAGACGCCCCAATACCTCGTTGCCATTCTGTTGTGTCTGAAAATATGCTGCTAATTATGCTGTGATGATAAGAAGTCCGCTGACACTGTACTTTGATTATAAAGGTTTATTTATATCAAAGGGTTACAGCGTCGATTTACAGATATCTGCAGATATCTGGAGAACAGCCGGACCCGATCTGTAATATGCTATTCTCCCAGTCCTTTGTTCAAGACATGGTATTTATATCCTATGTGACATAATATGGCGTGATTTTAATAAACCAATCCCTGGCTTTCCACATATCTCCCCATATCCTCTATTCCAAGAAGCCTATGTAGTAATGCTTTCCAGATGTTTCCGCAAGCAGAGCCAAGTTCCTCTAACACACTTTTTGCAAACGTCAGCAAAGTCATAGACACTACAGACACTACAAGATGCTGTCAAGAAACACTGGCATGTTCTATATGTTGTATCATCGGACCCAGCTTTGCCAGCTGAATTTAAGAATCCACTACTTATTGTATATAGGAGAGGTCACAATTTACGAGATAAATTGGTCCATGCCAACTGCCAGCCAAAAAAGAAAATGAGACAGGCTCTTTTACGCCCTCTTCCGAATTGTAGCTATAAATGCAGAGGCTGCGCACAGTGCAACATTATGATGAAGTGTGAATATTCCTGCCACCCACATACAGGAAAACGGTTCCAAATAAATGACAGTATTATGTGTTCCACCACCCCATGTTATCGACATGATTAAATGTCCATGTGGGCTGTGTTATGTAGGTAAAACCTCTCGTTCTCTCAAACAGAGAATTAGTTAACAAAAGTTCAATCAGGAGAAACGACAGGGATTATCCAGTCGCAGTACACGTGCCGTCATCATTGCTTTGCACAAAAAGGGCTTCACAGGCAAGGATATTGCTGCTAGTAAGATTGCACCTAAATCGACCATTTATCGGATCATCAAGAACTTCAAGGAGAGCGGTTCAATTGTTGTGAAGAAGGTGTCAGGGCACCCAAGAAAGTCCAGCAAGCGCCAATGCCGTCTCCTAAAGTTGATTCAGCTGCGGGATCGGGGCACCACCAGTGCAGAACTTGCTCAGAAATGCCAGCAGGCAGGTGTGAGTGCATCTGCACGCACAGTGAGGCGAAGACTTTTGGAGGATGGCCTGGTGTCAAGAAGGGCAGCAAAGAAGCCACTTCTCTCCAGGAAAACATCAGGGACAGACTGATATTCTGCAAAAGGTACAGGGATTGGACTGCTGAGGACTGGGGTAAAGTCATTTTCTCTGATGAATCCCTTTTCCGATTGTTTGGGGCATCCGGAAAACTTGTCCGGAGAAGACAAGGTGAGCGCTACCATCAGTCCTGTGTCATGCCAACAGTAAAGCATCCTGAGACCATTCATGTGTGGGGTTGCTTCTCAGCCAAGGGAGTGGGCTCACTCACAATTTTGCCTAAGAACACAGCCATGAATAAAGAAGGGTACCAACACATCCTCAGAGAGCAACTTCTCCCAACCATCCAAGAACAGTTTGGTGACGACCAATGCCTTTTCCAGCATGATGGAGCACCTTGCCATAAGGCAAAAGTGATAACTAAGTGGCTCGGGGAACAAAACATCGACATTTTGGGTCCATGGCCAGGAAACTCCCCAGACCTTAATCCCATTGAGAATTTGTGGTCGATCCTCAAGAGGCGGGTGGACAAACAAAAACCCACAAACTCCAAGCATTGATTATGAAAGAATGGGCTGCCATCTGTCAGGATGTGGCCCAGAAGTTAATTGACAGTATGCCAGGGCGGATTGCAGAGGTCTTGAAAAAGAAGGGTCAACACTGCAAATATTGACTCTTTGCATAAACTTAATGCAATTGTCAATAAAAGCCTTTGACACTTATGGAATGCTTGTAATTATACTTCAGTATACCATAGTAACATCTGACAAAAATATCTCATAACACTGAAGCAGCGAACTTTGTGAAGACCAATACTTGTGTCATTCTCAAAACTTTTGACCAAGACTGTATGTTATGTTGTAAATGTGAACATGAATTAATGCCACCATTTCAGATTACGTTTTTCTTGGGCTGTACCCAATTATTTATGAAAACTTGCTTGATGGGTCGATGTCCTCATTGTGGTTTTACAGACGTGTTTAATACGTTTTATGTACAAACTGTATTAGAATATTAATGAAATGCACATTGTTATATTTGGTAACACTTATTTTCCCTCGAATCCAATCCCATTCGATACATTGAACGGATGTGCGTGGAGCTATGTCTACGTAAGGGTGCTATTTATTTATTTTAACTCACAAAAGCTCTGACGAAGGCCTTGAGGCCGATACGTAAAGCTTAATAAAGAGCAGTGATACTAGCAAGAGCAGTGTGCGGGTTTCTTCTTTTTTTTTCTCATCTTATTCAACTGTTACCATGCACCTGCAACAAAGATAGCTCAGGTGTGCGAGTGCCTTTTCAACTGATGAATTTATGAAAACATTGTAAGCCCTTTCTAAGGCATTCACTTTTCTAAATTTCAGTACGAAGATGAAATGCCCCTGAGGTACTCCATGCTCTTTGAAAATACCATCTACATCGAAACATTCTTATTTTGCTTTGTTGTAGTGTATGGAATACTACATTTACCCATTTGGGTCACTGTAAGTACTTCTTCTTAATGTATGCAGTTTGATATGTTTTATTAATGATGAAAACAGTTGCCTCGAGAAGGGGAAATGTATTTGACTGAAATTCTGAGTTTATTTCTGGTGACTCTGATAGGAAATACATACTTGAGCTGATTTATTCTACTCTTTCTTCTTTTTGTGATACAGCTGTATGAGAAACTGCACAAGGGTCAAGTTGAACCACAGCCCACTGATCACATGACTGAAGACTTTGAAATGAACGAGACCAATTCCAAAAATGTGAACTTCTCAAAGCGATCCAGTGCTGATGTATTCATCCAGTGCGGATGAATTATGAGATGAATTATTTTTTCACAGCCACATAGGCATTTTTCCATTGGAAGATTGGTTCTATAATATTTCAAGCATTATTAAATTTTTTATTGATTAAAAATGGAAGCAACGTTTTTGTCTTTTCTTTTGTAGTTGTCACATGCACAGGATACCGTAGGTGTAAAACAGTACAGTGAAATGCTTAACTTGCGAGCTCTACATGATGCAATGGGTTGAATTAATAATGAAATAAGCATGAATCATATGTCGCCACATCTCTTGCTCCGTACACCACATCATAACGGTCCTTTCATCGTTTCAGGGCGGTACTACAATGAATGGCAGGGACTGGGAACTAATCCACGTTCAATTTGCTGGACACTGCAACCAATCACCGTTCACGATCTATCCGGAAGTTGTATGCACAGATAACCCTACGCACGAGCACAAGCACCAACGACGGACGTGAGGGACGATTCATTTTAGTATTAGTAATCCATTAAAATATACACATTTTATACAATTCCTACGTGGATATGGCGGAGCAGGTAACCAAAACCATAGGTCAACTCTCAGTGGGTAAGTAGATAACATGACTAGCTCGTGTTATTTGCTAGCTAATATACAATCATTGTAGCTATTGAAATCATGCGATGTGTTGCATCAGACCGGAGTTGCTAGCTAGCTTTCATAGCACCAATGATGACATTTAAATAAATCATTGCATAGCACAAGCTTATCTTGACTGTCTAGTTAGCTAAAACAAGCTAGCTAAGTTTACTACGCATCGGTGTGAGCTCTGTGCTTTTTTTTTGTTTTAGGGCTTTTTTCATTTCTGTAATCCCTGTAGCTAAGCATATGGTAAAATGTCTGTGTCACGCTCCAGTTATCTAGCCGACGACCTTATCTTGCCTAACTAGCATAATCACTGTCATGCCATCAGATCTCCAACTTTTGGGTGGGTGAAATAGGCTACATAGTGGGGTGTCGAATACGGGAGTTTTCATCATGAATGACCATGAACATGTCAAACTAGGTTTAGCTAGCTGAAATAACATACATTCAAAATCAAGTGTTGAGTGCTTTCACTTTTTCCAGGTGAGCTGTATGTGTCTGACAAAGAGGGGGATGACCAGGGTGGTGATGGAACAACGCAGAAGCCTTTCAAGACCTCATTGAGGGTAAGAGGAATCAGTGTTGTGTACCCCTATTTCTGCTTCATTACGACGCCATCCAACAGAACTGATACGTCTAGGCGTTTTTGAATCAATCACAGTTAAGTTAATTGCTATAACAACAACTATTTGATTTCAAAGGCTTTGACATTTGCTGGAAAGGAGCCATTCCCAACCATCTATGTGGACTCTCAGAAGGAAGGAGAGGTACGCAGTTACAAGCAATGAAAACTAAGTCGTTTGGTTTCACTTTCATTTGGGTTCACTTTCAGATTTTGTTTCCCTTATTATTCTAGCGTTGGGCAGTGATCTCCAAGACGCAGATGAAAAATGTGAAGAAGTTATTTGCTAAAGAGCAGACGAAGAGCGACTCTATAGACAAAAAGGAGGTGCGTGGGAGAGGCGGCAGTGTGGGGAAATAGTCAGAGGCTGCTGCATCCCGAATGGAACCCTATTCCCTATATAGTGCACTACCTCTGGTCAAAAGTAGTGCACTATATAGGGGATAGGATGCCATTTGGGATGCTACCATTTATAATTATTCACGCAATATCGTCTTGGGCAATAAATAGTTGTGGCTATCAGTGCAATATATTCACAGGCAGCAGTAGCCTATGTTAGCTGCAATTTATGTAAGTTATTTTCAACTTTGATTTAAAGGCAGAGGATTCTGAGAGACGAGAGAAGAACCTGGAAGAAGCTAAGAAAATCACCATTGAGAATGACTCAAGCCTTCCAGAGCCCAAAACGGTCAGATCCACTATATTCTCTTTAGTCAAACTCATCTTTTGTATGTTTTGTACTGTTTAAAAACAACTCCTCATCTTTGGAAATAAGAATATCATTTTTGTCTTCCTTTGTGTTGAAATATTGAAATTGAATCAACCCTTTCCCAACAGGTTAAAGTCTATCAGCTGGAGCCTCTCCGGGGGGAGAGAGTGAAGGTGTTTGGCTGGGTGCACCGAATGAGAAAACAAGGTGAGGATTGTAGAACGTTTGGTTAATGTGTGTCTGACCAGTTGTCAGTATGCCACAACACTTTAACTAGTTTATAACATGCAAGTTTTTTTTTTTAACAGTTTACGCTCGTGATTCCAATGCATGATAGAATCAAAACCACCCTCCGGGTTTCCTATTTACTTTACATGGTGCACTACAGCAGGGATCATCAACTAGATTCAGCCGCGGGAGGATTTCTTTCTTGAGCGAATGGTCGGGGGCCGGAACATAATTACAAATAATCTGTAGACTGCAAATTGAACGCAAGAATCCCAAACAGATATAATATTTTACTAAATATTTAAAACCTTGCTTACATTTGGATACAGTCACGTCTCTATTATGCGTGCGAATACTTAGAAACAGATTTCCAAAATTAATGACTTGGAGCTGATTTCCTGGTGTTTATTACAGGCTTATATGTCCAACAATGAAAATTCCCCCCCCCCCACCCCGAAAACTAACTTGGGGGGCCAAATAAAACCACTGGTCCATCAGTTAGGGAACCCTGCACAACATACTTATTTTGAGTGCTTTGTGGGCAACTGGATGAGAAGAGAGGGGCTTCATGGCTCATAGTGTGTTTATTGTTAGCATTATTTAGTATTTATTTTACCAGGGAAGTTGACTGAGAACACATTCTCATTCTCTTGCTAGGAAAGAACCTGCTGTTCATTGTGCTGAGAGATGGAACTGGTTTCCTGCAGTGTGTTCTCAACAATAAATTGGTACTTCTTTATTTTTTAGTATTTAAAACACATTTATTCTATTTTTTATTTATTTATGGTCCCTCTATTTTAAAAAAATAATGTTTTTTTAATACTTTTTTGTTGTTGTCACCACTATAGTGTCAGTGCTATAATGCCCTGGTGCTGTCCACTGAAAGCACAGTGGCTCTGTATGGGACAGTGAAGCAAGTACCCGAGGGAAAGCAGGTACAGATTCTTCAATTACTTACATACTTTAATTGCCCAGATTAAACCGTGATATTTTCCCTCAAACCTTATTTTTAGACCAGGAATAGGCCCAATCTGGTTCTGGGAAAACTGTCCCTTTTAACTATTAATTTAATTAATGTATTAGATTGTTTGTTATTTTATTATTAGAGCTATGACTGACTAGGATGTTCTCTCCCCTCCTCTCTCATCTCGTCCTCTCCTCTCTTCCTCCTCTTTCTCCAGGCCCCAGGTGGTCATGAGCTGCACTGTGACTTCTGGGAGCTGGTGGGCCTGGCCCCGGCTGGAGGAGCCGACAACCTGCTGAACGAGGAGTCTGATGTGGACGTTCAGCTCAACAACAGACACATGATGATCCGTGGGGAGAACGTGTCCAAGATCCTCCGGATCCGCTCCACTGTCACACAGTGCTTCAGGGATCACTTCTTCAACCGCGGATACCATGAGGTACAGTAAGAGCGGATACACTGTACAAACGTCCTCTGTTTGAGCTCTTTGAAGCATAAAACCACAAAAATAAATTGAACACATAAATAAAACATAGAATAGTAATATACAGATGCAGTCGAATATATTTGTCACATTTTACATTTAAATTTTTAGTCATTTAGCAGACGCTCTTATCCAGAGCGACTTACATGAGCAATTAGGGTTAAGTGCTTTGCTTAAGGGCACATCGAGACTTTTTTTTAAAATGTGGTACGACTATAGTCGTATAAAAACTGGAAGGAAACATGATAAGCTTTGAATCTTGAATTGTTGTATATTTTCACCCTTTTTCCATGTATGTCTACGCTTCTGTCTAAATCTCTGTTTTTTTTTGTATTTGGTTCTCCCACAGATCACCCCACCCACCCTGGTGCAGACCCAGGTGGAGGGAGGTTCCACCCTGTTCAACCTGAACTACTTTGGGGAGGAGGCGTTCCTGACCCAGTCCTCTCAGCTCTACCTGGAGACCTGCATCCCTGCCCTGGGAGACACCTTCTGTATCGCACAGTCCTACCGCGCTGAGCAGTCCCGCACCCGCAGGCATCTGTCTGAGTGAGTAGTGGAATTGCTGTTGTTTTCCCTTCCTGTTTTCAAATAGCAAAAACATTACCTTAGGAAATCCTCTATTTTGTATTTAACTTTTATTGATACGGGTTAGTTTCACTGACATAAAACCTATTTTTCAAGAGACACTTTCTAGTGTTTAACATAACTACATAGTATAGGGCCCTCTGCCTCTATGTGATTACCTACAGAGGGAGGGAACATAACCTATGTGCCCTCCCTCCCTCTGTAGGGACACTCATATAGAGGCAGAGTGCCCTATTAACCTATGTGCCCTCCCTCTGTAGGGACACTCATATAGAGGCAGAGTGCCCTAATAACCTATGTGCCCTCCCTCTGTAGGGACACTCATATAGAGGCAGAGGGCCCTATTAACCTATGTGCCCTACCTCTGTAGGTACACTCATATAGAGGCAGAGTGCCCTATTAACCTATGTGCCCTCCCTCTATAGGGACACTCATATAGAGGCAGAGGGCCCTAATAACCTATGTGCCCTCCCTCTGTAGGGACACTCATATAGAGGCAGAGGGCCCTAATAACCTATGTGCCCTCCCTCTATAGGGACACTCATATAGAGGCAGAGTGCCCTAATAACCTATGTGCCCTCCCTCCCTCTGTAGGGACACTCATATAGAGGCAGAGGGCCCTAATAACCTATGTGCCCTCCCTCTGTAGGTACACTCATATAGAGGCAGAGTGCCCTATTAACCTATGTGCCCTCCCTCTGTAGGGACACTCATATAGAGGCAGAGTGCCCTATTAACCTATGTGCCCTACCTCTGTAGGGACACTCATATAGAGGCAGAGTGCCCTATTAACCTATGTGCCCTCCCTCTGTAGGGACACTCATATAGAGGCAGAGTGCCCTAATAACCTATGTGCCCTACCTCTGTAGGTACACTCATATAGAGGCAGAGTGCCCTAATAACCTATGTGCCCTCCCTCCCTCTGTAGGGACACTCATATAGAGGCAGAGTGCCCTAATAACCTATGTGCCCTACCTCTGTAGGGACACTCATATAGAGGCAGAGTGCCCTATTAACCTATGTGCCCTACCTCTATAGGTACACTCATATAGAGGCAGAGTGCCCCTTCATGACCTATGAAGACCTTCTGAGCAGGCTGGAGGACCTGGTGTGTGATGTGGTGGACAGAGTCCTGAAGTCTCCTGCTGCTCCTCTCCTCTACCAAGTCAACCCTGTACGTCTGATGTTTCATTGGCAGCTATTAGTTCTCACTATGTCTGTCTGGCCGTCTCACTTGCACGCTCTATCTGTATGTCTCTCTCTCTCTCTCTCTCTCTCTCTCTCTCTCTCTCTCTCTCTCTCTCTCTCTCTCCTCTCCTCTCCTCTTTCTCTCTCTCTCCCTCTCGCTCTCTGTATCTCTCTCTCTCTCTGTATCTCCCTCTCTCTCTGGATCTCCCTCTCTCTCTGGATCTCCCTCTCTCTCTGGATCTCCCTCCCTCTCTGTATCTCTCTCGCTCTCTGTATCTCTCTCTCTGACCCTCTTTCTCTGACTCTGTCTCTGACTGGGTCTCTCTCTCTCGTAGTCTTGTTCACTGAAGTGGATGTATTCTTTAAGGGTTTTATCGCAAAATAATGTTTCCTGTTTGAGATTCAAGTTTCCTTGACCTTTTTTTGAGCTCATTCAAAATACCTCCTTCAAATCCTTGTTTTGTGGTGAAAGGCTAAACATGAGGATACCACAGTACTAATGTGGCCTGTCGCTTTCCTCTCCACCCACCCCAGGACTTCAAGCCCCCCAAGAGGCCCTTCAAGAGGATGAACTACTCTGATGCCATCGTCTGGCTCAAGGAGCATGACATCAAAAAGGACGATGGGACCTACTATGAGTTTGGAGAGGTATATTTGACTATGAATAAATGCCATTTGATAAATGGTTTAGGGTCGGCATATACCGCAGTCAATTATAATCACTCCCATCTAATCACTATCTCCCTCAGAAATAATATTTGGATAGTGTCGATCTGGACTACATATTACTTTCAATGGAGAATCTCTATTGAACATGCTAGTCCATAACTTAATCTGTGTCCAGAAAACTGACATAAAGAGAAAAAAGGAATGTTTAAATCAAATTAAATCACATTTTATAGGTCACATTCATGTGTTTAGCAGATGTTATTGTGGGTGTAGCGAAATGCTTGTGATTCTAGCTCTGACAGTGCAGTAATATCTAACAAGTAACATCTAACAATTTCACAACAAATCAAAATTAAAACAATTCAAATTTTATTTGCCACATGTGCCGAATACAACATGTGTAGACATTACCGTGAAATGCTTACTTACAGCCCTTAACCAACAATGCATTTATTTCTTAATAAAAAAGTAAAATAAAACGACAACAAAAAAGTGTTGAGAAAAAAAGAGCAGAAGTAAAATAAAACAACAATAGGGAGGCTATACAGTGGGGAGAACAAGTATTTGATACACTGCCGATTTTGCAGGTTTTCCTACTTACAAAGCATGTAGAGGTCTGTAATTTTTATCATAGGTACACTTCAACTGTGAGAGACGGAATCTAAAACAAAGATCCAGAAAATCACATTTGTATGATTTTTAAGTAATTCATTTGGAATTTATTGCATGACATAAGTATTTGATACATCAGAAAAGCAGAACTTAATATTTGGTACAGAAACCTTTGTTTGCAATTACAGAGATCATACGTCTCCTGTAGGTCTTGACCAGGTTTGCACACACTGCAGCAGGGATTTGGCCCACTCCTCCATACAGACCTTCTCCAGATCCTTCAGGTTTCGGGGCTGTCGCTGGGCAATACGGACTTTCAGCTCCCTCCAAAGATTTTCTATTGGGTTCAGGTCTGGAGACTGGCTAGGCCACTCCAGGACCTTGAGATGCTTCTTACGGAGCCACTCCTTAGTTGCCCTGGCTGTGTGTTTCGGGTCGTTGTCATGCTGGAAGACCCAGCCACGACCCATCTTCAAGGCTCTTACTGAGGGAAGGAGGTTGTTGGCCAAGATCTCGCGATACATGGCTCCATCCATCCTCCCCTCAATACGGTGCAGTCGTCCTGTCCCCTTTGCAGAAAAGCATCCCCAAAGAATTATGTTTCCACCTCCATGCTTCACGGTTGGGATGGTGTTCTTGGGGTTGTACTCATCCTTCTTCTTCCTCCAAACACGGCGAGTGGAGTTTAGACCAAAAAGCTCTATTTTTGTCTCATCAGACCACATGACCTTCTCCCATTCCTCCTCTGGATCATCCAGATGGTCATTGGCAAACTTCAGACGGGCCTGGACATGCGCTGGCTTGAGCAGGGGGACCTTGCGTGCGCTGCAGGATTTTAATCCATGACGGCGTAGTGTGTTACTAATGGTTTTCTTTGCGACTGTGGTCCCAGCTCTCTTCAGGTCATTGACCAGGTCCTGCCGTGTAGTTCTGGGCTGATCCCTCACCTTCCTCATGATCATTGATGCCCCACGAGGTGAGATCTTGATGCCCCAGACCGAGGGTTGATTGACCGTCATCTTGAACTTCTTCCATTTTCTAATAATTGCGTCAACAGTTGTTGCCTTCTCACCAAGCTGCTTGCCTATTGTCCTGTAGCCCATCCCAGCTTTGTGCAGGTCTACAATTGTATCCCTGATGTCCTTACACAGCTCTCTGGTCTTGGCCATTGTGGAGAGGTTGGAGTCTGTTTGATTGAGTGTGTGGACAGGTGTCTTTTATACAGGTAACGAGTTCAAACAGGTGCAGTTAATACAGGTAATGAGTGGGGAACAGGAGGGCTTCTTAAAGAAAAACTAACAGGTCTGTGAGAGCCGGAATTCTTGCTGGTTGGTAGGTGATCAAATACTTATGTCATGCAATAAAATGCAAATGAATTACTTAAAAATCATACAAATGTGATTTTCTGGATCTTTGTTTTAGATTCCGTCTCTCACAGTTGAAGTGTACCTATGATAAAAATTACAGACCTCTACATGCTTTGTAAGTAGGAAAACCTGCAAAATCGGCAGTGTATCAAATACTTGTTCTCCCCACTGTATATACAGGGGGGGTACCGGTGCAGAGTCAATGTGCGGGGGCACCGGCTAGTTGAGGTAACATATACCCAATACACACAAATCTAAGTAAGAAAATATACATATATGGACGAGCGATGTCAGAGCAGCATGGACTAAGATACAGTAGAATATTCTAGAATACAGTATATACATATGAGATGAGTAGTGCAAGATATGTAAACATTATTAAAGTGACTAGTGTTCCATTTCTTAAAGTGGCCAGTGATTTCAATAGGCAGCAGCAGCCTCTACTGTGCTAGTGATGGCTATTTAACAGTCTGATGGCCTTGAGATAGAAGCTGTTTTTCATTCTCTCGGTCCCAGCTTTGATGCACCTGTACTGACCTCGCCTTCTGGATGATAGCGGGGTGAACAGGCAGTGGCTCGGGTGGTTGATGTCCTTAATGATATTTTTGGCCTTCCTGTGACATCGGGTGCTGTAGGTGCCCTGGAGGGAGGGTAGTTTGCCCCCGGTAATGCGTTCGGCAGACCGCACCACCCTCTGGAGAGCCCTGCGGTTGCGGGCGGTGCAGTTGCCGTACCAGGCGGTGATACAGCCCGACAGGATGCTCTCAATTGTGCATCTGTAAAAGTTTGTGAGGGTTTTAGGTGCAAAGCCACATTTCTTCAGCCTCCTGAGGTTGAAGAGGCTCTGTTGCGCCTTCTTCACCACACTGTCTGTGTGGGTGGACCATTTCAGTTTGTCAGTGATGTGTACGCCAAGGAACTTGAAGCTTTCCACCTTCTCCATCGATGTATTGTTCAGTGGACCTTCTCTTTGTCCAGCTCCTGTTGTTATTGTGGCTGTGCGTTATGAAACCCTCTCCCTCCTGTGTTTCAGGATATCCCAGAGGCGCCAGAGAGGCTGATGACTGATGCCATCGGTGAGACCATCCTGCTGTGTCGCTTCCCTGCTGAGATCAAATCCTTCTACATGCAGCGCTGTCCTGAGGACCGACGCCTCACTGAGTCGGTGAGTCCCTGACCAAGAAAACATCACGGAAACCATGACCGGAAAAACCACACCTCAGAGAAGCCATCATGACCCTTACCAGGGCCTCATTCAAAAAAAAATTCTGATCAGTTTAGTCTTTTCGATCATAATGAATAAGAATGTGGACAGTGGGGAGCTGATTCTGAGAGGCTTTTTGGATATTTTCCCTGAAAGACATCCTCATTGTAGTCCCTGATGCTCCTCTCCCCAGTGAAATAACTCATCCTCATTGTAGTCCCTGCTGCTCCTCTCCCCAGTGAAATAACTCATCCTCATTGTAGTCCCTGATGCTCCTCTCCCCAGTGAAATAACTCATCCTCATTGTAGTCCCTGCTGCTCCTCTCCCCAGGTGGATGTGCTGATGCCTAACGTTGGAGAGATCGTAGGAGGGTCTATGAGGATCTGGGATGCTGAGGAGCTGCTGGAGGGATACAAGAGGGAAGGCATTGACCCAACCCCTTACTACTGGTACACTGACCAGGTATGTAGATCTACCCAACCCTCTAATACTGGTACACGGACCAGGTATGTAGATCTACCCAACCCCGTACTACTGGTACACTGACCAGGTATGTAGATCTACCCAACCCCTTACTACTGGTACACAGGACCAGGTATGTACATCTACCCAACCCCTTACTACTGGTACACTGACCAGGTATGTACATCTACCCAACCGCTTACTACTGGTACACTGACCAGGTATGTAGATCTACCCAACCCCTTACTACTGGTACACGGACCAGGTATGTAGATCTACCCAACCCCTTACTACTGGTACACTGACCAGGTATGTAGATCTACCCAACCCCTTACTACTGGTACACGGACCAGGTATGTACATCTACCCAACCCCTTACTACTGGTACACGGACCAGGTATGTACATCTACCCAACCCCTTACTACTGGTACACTGACCAGGTATGTACATCTACCCAACCCCTTACTACTGGTACACTGACCAGGTATGTACATCTACCCAACCCTCTAATACTGGTACACGGACCAGGTATGTAGATCTACCCAACCCCTTACTACTGGTACACGGACCAGGTATGTAGATCTACCCAACCTTCTAATACTGGTACACGGACCAGGTATGTAGATCTACCCAACCCTCTAATACTGGTACACTGACCAGGTATGTAGATCTACCCAACCCCTTACTACTGGTACACGGACCAGGTATGTAGATCTACCCAACCCCTTACTACTGGTACACGGACCAGGTATGTAGATCTACCCAACCCTCTAATACTGGTACACGGACCAGGTATGTAGATCTACCCAACCCTCTAATACTGGTACACGGACCAGGTATGTAGATCTACCCAACCCTCTAATACTGGTACACTGACCAGGTATGTAGATCTACCCAACCCCTTACTACTGGTACACTGACCAGGTATGTAGATCTACCCAACCCTCTAATACTGGTACACGGACCAGGTATGTAGATCTACCCAACCCCTTACTACTGGTACACGGACCAGGTATGTAGATCTACCCAACCCCTTACTACTGGTACACGGACCAGGTATGTAGATCTACCCAACCCCTTACTACTGGTACACGGACCAGGTATGTAGATCTGTAGATCTTATTAATGTAAGCAATAATACACAAGGGGGCGTGCTTCATTGCGATTTTAGTATGGCTGCTGGGGTCATAGGTTAGACACCCTAGCGTTTCCGGAACTAAGTGTTTTATGAAAAGAAATAGAGAATCTGTTAGTAGATTTTTTTGATTGTGTGTTGCCTTAATAATGCCAACGTTGTGTCTTCCAGAGGAAGTATGGGACCTGTCCCCATGGTGGCTACGGGCTGGGCCTGGAGAGGTTCCTGACCTGGCTGCTGAACAGACACCACATCAGAGACGTGTGCCTCTACCCCCGCTTCATCCAGCGCTGCCGACCCTAAACTACCAACTAACCACCCTGCTCCCTGCATTTCAAGAGACCAAGGCTGCATCCCAAATGGCTACCTATTTCTGACCAGAGCGCTATCCCTGTATAACCAGAAGTAATCATCCTAATGCACTGCAAGGTGGCCAACATACGAGGCTTGAGAACTAAGATCACTTAATTACGTTCAGGAAACGACAGTAACAAATCTCTGCAAATGTAAGATTTGAAATGTGTTTTCAGTTGTGAAATTCATGCTGTTCAGCAAATACTATTTTGTCTGCCAATAAATGTATACTGTATGTGTGCTACAATGTCTGTCTGAAATGTTCTGTGGAGAGTGGGGACACGCATTCTGTTACATCTCTTGTATATTGTAACAAATTACTGATCCACAACTGTTGCAATAATCCTGTTAAACAAGGAAGTGAAAGACGAGGGTTAGAATAAGGCAGATATTTCCTTGAGTAACTTCCTTCTCTAGACTTCCTTGTGTTTTTGTACAGATTCATTTCCTTGTACACCAAAGAAAATTGAATATGTATCGAAATTCTCACTATGTACAGTACCAGTCAAGTTTGGACACACCTACTCATTCCAGGATTTTTATTTATTTTTTACTATTTTCTACATTGTAGAATAATAGTGAAGACATCAAAACTATGAAATAACACATGGAATCATGTAGTAACCAAAAAAGTGTTTAACAAATCAAAATCTATTTTATATTTGAGATTCTTCAAAGTAGCCACCCTTTGCCTTGATGACAGCTTTGTACACTCTTGGCATTCTCTCAACCAGCTTCATGAGGTAGTCACCTGGAATGCATTTCAGTTAACAGGTGTCCCTTCTTAAAAGTTAATTTGTGGAATTTCTTTCCTTAATGTGTTTGAGCCAATCAGTTGTGTTGTGACAAGGTATACAGAAGATAGCTCTATTTGGTAAAAGACCAAGTCCATATTATGGCAAGAACAGCTCAAATAAGCAAAGAGAAACGACAGTCCATCATTACTTTAAGACATGAAGGTCAGTCAATACATTTACATTTTAGTCATTTAGCAGACGCTCTTATCCAGAGCGACTTACAGGAGCAATTAGGGTTAAGTGCCTTGCTTAAGGGCACATCGACAGATTTTTCACCTAGTCGGCTCGGGGATTAGAACCAGCGACCTTTCGGTTACTGGCACAACGCTCTTACCCACTAAGCTACCTGCCGCCCCAATACGGAACATTTCATGAACTTTGAAAGTTTCTTCAACTGCAGTCGCAAAAACCATCAAGCGCTATGATGAAACTTGCTCTCATGAGGACCGCCACAGGAAAGGAAGACCCAGAGTTACCTCTGGTGCAGAGGATAAGTTCATTAGCATTAACTGCACCTCAGATTGCAGCCCAAATAAATGCTTCACAGAGTACAAGTAACAGACATCTCAACATCAACTGTTCAGAGGAGACTGCGTGAATCAGGCCTTCATGGTCGAATTCCTGCAAAGAAACCACTACTAAAGGACACCAATAAGAAGAAGACACTTGCTTGGGCCAAGAAACACAAGCAATGGACATCAGATCGGTAGAAATCTGTCCTTTGGTCTGATGAGTCCAAATTTGAGATTTTTGGTACCAACCGCCGTGTCTTTGTGAGACGCAGAGTATGTGAACGGATGATCTCTGCATGTGTGGTTCCCACAGTGAAGCATGGAGGAGGAGGTGTGATGGTGTGGGGGTGCTTTGCTGGTGACACTGATTTATTTAGAATTCAAGGCATTTGTTTTTCATCAGGACAATGACCCAAAACACACCTCCAGGCTGTGTAAGGGCTATTTGACCAAGAAGGAGAGTGCTGGAGTGCTGCATCAGATGACCTGGCCTCCACAATCACCCGACCTCAACCCAATTGAGATGGTTTGGGATGAGTTGGACCACAGAGTGAAGGAAAAGCAGCCAACAAGTGCTCAGCATATGTGGGAACTCTTTCAAGACGGTTGGAAAAGCATTCCTCATGAAGCTGGTTGAGAGAATGCCAAGAGTGTACAAAGCTGTCATCAAGGCAAAGGGTGGCTACTTTGAAGAATCTCAAATATAAAATATATTTTGATTTGTTTAACACTTTTTTGGTTACTACATGATTCCCTATGTGTTATGTCATATTTGTTATGTCTTCACTATTATTATACAATGTAGAAAATAGTAAAAATAAAGAAAAACCCTTGAATGAGTAGGTGTGTCCAAACTTTTGACTGCTAGTCAAAAGTTTGGTGGTTTATGGAACACAACAGAACAGCACCAAAAACAGTGGTGGAAAGTACTTAAGTAAAAATACTTTAAAGTACTACTTAAGTAGTTTTGGGGGGTATCTATACTTTACTTTACTATTTATATTCTTGACAACTTTTACTTCACTACGTTCCTAAAGAAAATATTGTACTTTTTACTCAATACATTTTCCCTGACAACTCAAAAGTACTCGTTCAATTGTAAAATTCACGCACTCATCAAGATAACATGTGGTCATCCCTACTGCCTATGGTCTGGTGGACTCACTAAACACAAATGCATCTTTTGTAAATAATGTCTGAGTGTAGGAGTGTAAAAATAAGAAAATGGTGACGTCTGCTTTGCTTAATATAAGGAATTTGAAATTATTTATACTTTTGATACTTAAGTATATTTTAGCAATTACATGTACTTTTGATACTTAAGTATATTTTAAACCAAATACTTTTAGACTTTTACTCAAGTACTATTTTACTGGGTGACTTTTACTTGAGTAACTTAATATTAAGGTATCTATACTTTTACTCAAGTATGACGATTGGGTACTTTTTCCACCACTGCCAAAAATGACGAGAACACCATGGGCTACTGTCCGGCAAGGCTAGGGATGGGAGCGCACAGCTTTCTACGTGAGAGCTCGTCTGTCTTTTTCCCAACGCAGTTAAACGAAACCACGCCCCGTTATTCAAAGGGGCGTTCTACAACGCTTTGAGCGCTCTCCAAGTCCGGAAGTGAATATCACGTAGCGCGACATTTCTGTCACTGATTGATAACATTTGCCCTTGTATTTCAAGATTGAAAAATATTTCAGTCACCTGATTAATAACATTTGCCTAAATCCTTAATATATACATATTTTTTCTATGCCAGTGCTAACCACTCCCCTTGAGCATTTTGTCTTTTTAGCACATCCAAAGCTGATGAAGGGGGAGTGCCCAATCTCAAATAGCCTTGACAATGTGTCTGTGGTTTTGGCCCCAACATCCCAATGTTTAAGTGCATCAGCCACAAAGAGATTGTGGTTGTGGACATCGGCGTCTGGACACACGCACCATGGCTGGATACATAGTTAGATGTGGGTCCTTGCTCCTAGAACAAACATTTGATTGTCTTCAGCTAAATCAAAGTTAGAGAACGATTAACCACAATGGGCAGGCTTGTATTTGTAAATAAACCATTCATTTTTTTACATTTACATTTACGTCATTTAGCAGACGCTCTTATCCAGAGCGACTTACAGTTAGTGCATACATTATTCTTTTTTTTTTTCTTTTTTCATACTGGCCCCCCGTGGGCATCGAACCCACAACCCTGGCGTTGCAAACGCCATGCTCTACCAACTGAGCTTCACACACCTGCTCAGCCTCCCCTTTCCGGTGACACAGCGTATCAGAGTGATTCTCATTTTGGATGGACAGCATGTGTTGTTTGATGTTCCCTCGGTCCTCTGTAGCTCAATTGGTAGAGCATGGCGCTTGTAACGCCAGGGTAGTGGGTTCGATCCCCGGGACCACCCATACGTAAAAATGTATGCGCACATGACTGCAAGTCGCTTTGGCATATTAAATTAAATTGTCCGCAGTGGGGGATCTTCTGTTGGCACCTGTAACAAGCCTAAACAGAAGGTGTATTGTATTTATTATCTGAATGTCTAATGCCTTACATTTGCTCTATCCCACCAACTAAATATCATTTTACCCACTTCAATCATTACCTTGAAAATAAGTGTATGTCCTTTCCTGGGTCTTGTTACGCGGACCCTCCATGTCACTCCAGTGTCTCTAGTCTTTAGAAGCCACTCTTGTAACTCCTCAACAGAATTCACTCCCAGGCGTAGGCTCAATTCAAAAGTTGAGTGGTCTCTCTGGGTAGGTCTCTCCACAAGTGAACAAATATTATATTTGTACCCAGGGGGTTGCCAACTCTAAATGGGAAAACAATGTAACTTGATGTGTTGTGTGCTATAGTCAGAGCAATTTAAACAATTTTATAGAAATGATTAGCTAATAAATACTTGAGAAATTATGAATAGTAAGCATATGCTTTTACCTGATAATAGACTACTAATGATAATATAACAACTTTAAATACCGAGCTAGTAACATTAAGTAGCCTAGGTTAACTTAGCTGATCATTGAAACTCTGAAAATAAATACATGGGCAAATGTTACCAAAGCTGTTAATAATAGGCCTGCAGTACGGTAGGCAGCTAATTGTTTAAATGACACTCTCCATCCTTACCTTGGAAGGTCACTGTCTCTCATGGGTGTGTGTTCATCCTTGTGTGTGGTCCTCTGTAGCTCAGCTGGTAGAGCAAGGCACTTGTAACGCCAAGGTAGTGGTTTCGATATAACAAAAAAATAATAATGTATGCACGCATGACTGTTAGTCGCTTTGGATAAAAGCGTCTGCTAAATGGCATTATTATTATTATTATTATTATTATTATCTTGTCTCTCAACAGGCTCAACAGCTGTCGCTAGCCAATGGGAGCGTAGTAGAACGCCCCTCTGAATAACGGGGCGTGGTTTTGGCTTAACTGGGCGGGGAAAAGAGCACTGGGCGTAGCTTGTAAACACGCATGACGAGGGCTGTTAGTGTCAATCCTCGGGTGTAGAGGCTGTTTTAGTTAGCGAGCACGCAATTTGTTAGAAAGACAAGAAATAGGATCCGCCGACTGGATCAAAGCACTCGTCCATTTGAACGTGTGAATAGGGACGCTAACGAAACATGATGTCAGTTTTGGGAAGCGCGAGTCGGCTCATTCAACGTAAGTGGATGGTAGCTAGCAACGTTTTGCTAATGTTAGCGAGCTAGCTATACAGATAACTAACTGGTGATGCAGAAGTTGTTGGTTAGCTAGCAAGTTAGCAGCAGCAGCACGAGAAACATGAACACAAACAAAAGTTACTAGTGTCTTTGACATGCATTTGCTGGCCGGCTAACAGCCAAATGCTAGCAAGCTAACTTCTATTGCCCACTAACATGCCCTTTACCACACTCGCTAGCTAGTCCACTAACTAGCATTGCCTTTTTAACCTTCAGGTTGTGAATGAGTAAGGTATTTCGTGAGAGACCGAACTTCACTGATGCCTCAAGATATAGCGTTACACTAGCACTATTTATTTAAGTAAATCATATTTAATTTAATTGCAATAATATGCCCAGTCGACAAGTCGATAGCTAACTAGCTAGTAACGTTAGTGCTTCTAACCGTAGCTGGCTTGCTTGAGGACTAACCACATCTAACTAATGTTTAGTAAACCTTTGTCAAACTGTTTTATATAATATTATTGAGCTCTAACTGGAGTTACTATTTAATTGTGAAAAAAAGGCTATTCATGACCATGGTTCGGCTAAAATTTAGGCTGTCGTCAGCTAATGCAATTCAAAGTTACACAACTGACATTTGTCAACTTGCATAACCATGCGCCACTTAGCGTCCTCTGATTGTTACTGCAGCCAATTATAAATGTATATTGGTACATTTACATTTTAGTCATTTAGCAGACGCTCTTATCCAGAGCGACTTACAGTTAGTGAATACATATATATTTTTTTTGTTGTAATTTTTTGTTTTTTTCAAACTGGTCCCCTGTGGTAGCTACTGTTAGTCTACTAAAGCTATTCTTAATAACAAATACTAAAGTTGCTGCTCCCAAGCTTGACAGATAATACATGTTGGTAATGGCTAGAAATAATTCTCGAAATAATGTTTTCAATATGATTCTAAAATGTCATGTTTTTCCTATCCGTTTTAGCCATAGGCTTAGAAGGAAGCATATCAATTGAATCGTCTGATTGACTTTCATCTTGCCACCTCTCTCCCCTTCAGTTGCCAGGTGCAGTAATACCATAAGGATGTGTGTTACGACATCTCTCAGAAGACAGTCTACTGCAACCGCTGCAGCCTTCGCCCAGCCAGCCTCCACCGCAACCCCAGAAGCTGTGGAAAGCAGGTCCAGTACAATAGACTACAGAAAGGGACTAAATATCCCCTTTGATTCAAGTTATCTCTCGTACCCTGTCATCATTCATAACCAAATGTGTTGAGTGAGTAACTCCTCTGCATGTAGACACAAGCCTATTCTTCTATGTCGATGAAAGGACTAAATTGAGGTCGGGAGCCCTGCACCAAGCAAAACAAACGCAGATGCATAAAGCTGTGTATGTGAGCTGCATTGATTACACCCAAAAAAAGTATTGCAGACTGAAGTTCAATGAAGAGATAGGGTCTCTTTTTAAAAAGGCAGCAGCCAAAACGTAAGGCCACGCTGAGCTTTATTGGATTCAATAAATGTAAGACTGAGCAAGAACAAACTAGAAGTTTGTGTGTGCCATCTACGTTTGTGTGTGCCTGGGGAAATAAATACCTACTCTGGTCCACAGTATAGTATAGTATAGTAGTATAGGCCTCCCCACTCTGGTCCACAGTATAGTATAGTAGTATAGGCCTAATTTTGGGACAAAGACTGATGCGTACCATTTGGTTATGTATGTGGTAGATCCTTCACACGGCCTTGCTCCATGTCTTCCAATGGCACAGCAGCTCTTTCTGGATACATGCCTAGATATCAGAGTTATACAAGGGATATATATCTGCATGGCTGTTTCAATTCTAAATAATGATACAGTATTAATGTAGTACTATACATATCCTTGCAGAAAGCCCAAAACAGGGATTCTGATGATGAACATGGGAGGACCTGAGAAACTGGACGATGTTCATGATTTCCTGCTGCGCCTCTTCTCCGACACCGATCTGATGAAGCTTCCTGTTCAGAAGTAAGTGTACTCACACAAACACACACACACATTCAAGAGCAACAACACAAAGCAGATCATTGTACAGCAAAGGGGAGATCAGATATATTTGTCAGCTCTGTTTGGCCTGGGATTAAGGTTTTGAGTGCTCAAGTACATTTATGTTTGCCTGGCCCAAGATCTGTTTGTGCCGTCTTGCCATGGATAGATAGATAGAAATGTTCCATACGCACAAAAAGCTTATTTCTCTCAAATGTTGTGCACAAATTCATTTACGTCCCTGTTTTTTTATATCACAGCCATAAAACTCTCATTGGTGAAATCCCTGAACAGTTTCCTTCCTCTCCGGCAACTGAGTTAGGAAGGATGCCTGTATCTTTGCAGTGACTGGGCTTACCGATACCCCATCCAAAGCCTGATTTAATAACTTCACCATGCTCAAAGGGTTATTCAATGTCTATTGTGTTTTTTGGGGGGGAAATATTTGTAAAAAAAAAAAAAAAAAAGGTACACACATCTACCAATAGGTGCCCATAAATTCATTACTTGATTATTGAGGGACCTTGCAGATAATTGTATGTGTGAAGTACAGAGAAGGTAGTCGTTCAAAGATCATGTTAAACACTATTATTGAACACGGAATGAGTCCATGCAACTTATGACTTGTTAAGCACATTTGTACTCCTCAACTTATTTAGGCTTGCCATATCAAAGGGGTTGAATACTTATTGACTCAAGACATTTCAGCTTTACATATTTAATTCATTTCTAAAATGTTCTACAAACAAAATGTAATGCATGCATACATACAGCGCCTTCAGAAAGTATTGACACCCTTATACTTTTTCCACATTTTGTTGTTAAAGCATTCATTTAAAAATGTTATTAAATTGACCTGACGCTGACCTACACACAATACCCCATAATGTCAAAGTGGAATTTTGTTTGTAGAACATTTTTAGAAAATAGTTGTAATGTAAAGCTGAAATGTCTTGAAATGGAAGAAGGAGTTTGGAACCACCAAGACTCTTCCTAGAGCTGGCCGCCCGGCCAAACTGAGCAATCGGGGGAGAAGGGCCTTGGTCAGGGAGGTGACCAAGAACCTAATGGTCACTTTGACAAAGCTCCAGAATTCCTCTGTGGAGATGGGAGAAACTTCCAGAAGGACAACCATCTCTTCAGCAGTCCACCAATCAGGCATTTATGGTAGAGTGGCCAGACGGAAGCCACTCCTCAGTAAAAGGCACATGACAGCTCGCTTGGGGTTTGCCAAAAGGCACCTAAAGGACTCTCAGACCATGAGAAACAAGATCCTCTGGTCTGATGAAACCAAGATTGAACTCTTTGGCCTGAATGCCAAGCGTCATGTCTGGAGGAAACCTGGCACCATCCCTACGGTGAAGCATGGTGGCGGCAGCATCATGCTGTGGGGATGTTTTTCAGCGGCAGGGACTGGGAGACTAGTCAGGATCGAGGGAAAGATGAACAGAGCAAAGTACAGAGAGATCCTTGATGAAAACCTGCTCCAGAGCTCTCAGGACCTCAGACTGGGGTGCAGGTTCACCTTCCAACAGGACAATGACCGTAAGCACACAGTCAAGACAACGCAGGAGTGGCTTCAGGACAAGTCTCTGAATGTCCTTGAGTGGCCCAGCCAGAGCCCGGACGTGAACCCGATCGAACATCTCTGGAGAAACCTGAAAATAGATGTGCAGCGACGCTCCACATCCAACCTGACAGAGCTTGAGAGGATCTGCAGAGAAGAATGGGAGAAACTCCCCAAATACAGGTGTGCCAACCTTGTAGTGTCATACCCAAGAAGACTCTAGGCTGTAATCGCTGCCAAAGGTGCTTCAACAAAGTACTGAGTAAAGGGTCTGAATTCTTATGTAAATGTAATATTTCAGTATTTATTTTATTTGTTTTTTTATTTGCAAAAACTGTCATTTATTGTGTGTAGATTGATGAGGGGGGGAAAAACTATTTAATCCATTTTAGAATAAGGCTGTAACGTAACAAAATATAGAAAAAGTCAAGGGGTCTGAATACTTTCCGAATGCACTGTACATACATACACACTGGGACCAGGCTTCATTTATTACTCCAAGAGTTGACGTGATTTATGACGATGTGAATCTCTCTCTTCCTCCTCAGTCGACTGGGGCCGTTCATAGCGAAACGGCGTACCCCTAAGATCCAGGAGCAGTACAGCCGGATCGGAGGAGGCTCCCCCATCAAGGCCTGGACCACCATGCAGGGAGAGGGCATGGTCAAACTGCTGGATGAGATGTGTCCGGAAACGGGTCAGACCATAACACTTCATATCCCATACGTAACACTTCATATCCCATACGTAACACTTCATATCCCATACGTAACACTTCATATCCCATACGTAACACTTCATATCCCATACGTAACACTTCATATCCCATACGTAACACTTCATATCCCATACGTAACACTTCATATCCCATACGTAACACTTCATATCCCATACGTAACACTTCATATCCCATACGTAACACTTCATATCCCATACGTAACACTTCATATCCCATACGTAACACTTCATATCCCATACGTAACACTTCATATCCCATACACAACACTTCATATCCCATACACAACACTTCATAGCCCATACACAACACTTCATATTCCATACACAACACTTCATATTCCATACACAACACTTCATAGTCCATACACAACACTTCATAGTCCATACATAACACTTCATAGTCCATACATAACACTTCATATTCCATACATAACACTTCATAGCCCATACATAACCAGGGTTCTGGTGCTGCTAACTTTTTCAGTTGGTGGCACCAGCACATGATTTGGTCCAGAGTATGTGAGCAGAGTTGAGCAGTCGGAAATCCCACTCAGCACTCAGTCTTTGTGCATCGCTCCGAAGCTCAATGTCCTTTCCCCTGATCCACTAAAATTCGCTCGACGTTTACAGGAAAAGAAACTGCCTATCCAAAATGGCTCCATACATTGTTTTATTTAAAAGTATCATTTCATAAACACCCCATCTACATTAGTGACTGTATACCATTTGGTTTTGAAGTAGGCTATCGTAGGAAGCTTTAACATTGACCCAACATGTCGTAGGCCAGAGATCATCAACTAGATTCAGACGCGGGCCGATTTTTTATTTTATTTTCTTGTGTGGATGGTCATGGGGCCGGAACATAATTACAAATAACTTGTTGACTGCAAGAAGCCCAAACAGAAATAATATTTGACTAAAACAATATTTTCAAACCTTGCTTACGTTTTGTATATGATCACATATCTCTCTCTTATGCGAGGGAATACTTTGGAACAGATTTCCTAAATTAAAATCACTTGGTGCTGACTTCCTGTTTACGTTAGTCTTGGTGCTGACTTCCTGTTTACTTTAGTCTTTTATGCCCAACAATGTTTTTGGTAAAGTATTTATTTTTGCTCAGAAAACGAAATAAAACCGCCCGTGGGCCGCCAGTTGGGGAACACTGTTGTAGGTGAAGGACCTAGCTGATGATAGGCAGTTTCTCTGTTTAAAAAAAAACAAAATAGCTTTTTGTTTTTCTCTAATCTATTGATGATCAGATACTTCAGTTGTAACTGGCTCTGTTGCGCTCACATTTTAGAGTTGATCGAGCAACTTTAGGTACAGTTACAAACTTCTCAGGTAGCTTAGTGGGTAAGAGCGTTGTGCCAGTAAACGAAAGGTCGCTGGTTCTAATCCCCGAGCCGACTAGGTGAAAAATCTGTCGATGTGCCCTTAAGCAAGGCACTTAACACTAATTGCTCCTGTAAGTCGCTCTGGATAAGAGCGTCTGCTAAATGACTAAAATGTTAAAATGTTAAATAGAAATCAAAGTCTCTGGTGCTGCTGCATGGGCTTATTGGTTGTCTTGCCATCAATCAAACAGGCTGTGACCTTTTTCTTGGACTCATGTCATTAGTGGTGGGGTCGGCTAAATAAATACAACAGAATAATTAAAGCCTAATTAAAAGAACCGTGATGAAGGAAATGAAAAATGCTTTGGCAGAGCATGCCCAGAGCTCGTGGCTGATTGGTCGCACCCTTAAAAAAAAAAAAAAAAAAGTTTGTGTATTTTTATAATTGCTGATTACCTGGCCTGTCCCATAATGTGCCTGCAGATGGGTGTGAGTGGAAGGAGAGCGTGTCACATTCAAACTCACAAACACCGCTAGCTAGCTTTGATATGTTTTAGGTAGCAGCACTGACCCTGGGCTACACAAGTGGCCACAGTCACCAAAACAAACAGGCTGAGAAGTTGACTTTGTAGTGTTAAGATGTGCTGGGTTCCTTTATGTCTCACCACTGTCGTGTCGTAACAGTCGTTGACTCTGGCTGGGTGTGGTGGGGAGATAGAGTGGTGTGTTTCTCCACACCCCTACACCACACCTTACTGATAAGGCTTTACGTAGGCCCGTCTTAGGCCAAACAGAGTGGTCTTGTGTAACTTGGATAGTTCATAGATGGCCTAATTCAAATTCTATTCCCTAAGTGGAAGTCTATTATCCATTTGACTAATGCTTAGATGGTAGATTTGGAATGAGGGCTGCCATATATTCAACTTTACAGGACTCGCTTATGTTTGTTTGTTTGTTTTGTTTGTTTGTGTCTACAGCTCCTCACAAGTTCTACATAGGGTTCCGCTACGTGCATCCTCTGACCGAAGAGGCTATTGAGGAGATGGAGAAGGATGGGGTTGAGAGAGCAGTGGCCTTCACCCAGTACCCACAGTACAGCTGCTCTACCACAGGTAAGACTGGGCCCCACCTTCCTTCACCCAGTACAGCTGCTCTACCACAGGTAAGACTGGGCCCCACCTTCCTTCACCCAGTACAGCTGCTCTACCACAGGTAAGACTGGGCCCCACCTTCCTTCACCCAGTACAGCTGCTCTACCACAGGTAAGACTGGGCCCCACCTTCCTTCACCCAGTACAGCTGCTCTACCACAGGTAAGACTGGGCCCCACCTTCCTTCACCCAGTACAGCTGCTCTACCACAGGTAAGACTGGGCCCCACCTTCCTTCACCCAGTACAGCTGCTCTACCACAGGTAAGACTGGGCCCCACCTTCCTTCACCCAGTACCCACAGTACAGCTGCTCTACCACAGGTAAGACTGGGCCCCACCTTCCCTAATAAAAGTTTGATTTACATAGCTCTTTTCCATGTCCTCATAGTGCTTCACATTGTCAAGGGGCATCTCATCTCATCCACTACGGTCCCTGTTCTGGACCTGTCACCCCTCTCACATCTCACGCCAGTTAGTCTTGGCCTGGGAGTTACTGATAAGCTGACCTAGTCTTGTTCTTATCAATACGAAAAGACCACAGGGTGACTGAACACGCCACACCCTGCATCCCATCCACTTAGTATTCCTTTTGTAAAGTACTGTGTAAAACTGTTGAGGGGTTTTATAAATACATGTGATTGATTTGATTTCTCAACCGACGTTTTGTCTCTATGCCCTTTCCCCATTCTCTGACTTGGTCGCAGTGAACAGGGGGTCGCAGTGAACAGGGGGTCGCAGTGAACAGGGGGTCGCAGTGAACAGGGGGTCGCAGTGAACAGGGGGTCGCAGTGAACAGAGGGTCGCAGTGAACATATGTAATCTCATTGGAATGGTGTGTTCTGTATCTAACAGGCAGTAGTCTGAATGCAATCTACCGGTACTACAGCGGCAGAGCAGACAGGCCTAAGATGAGGTGGAGCGTCATCGACCGCTGGCCCACACACCCCCTGCTGGTCGAGGTGAGACACTCTAACTGTCAACATTCAAAATGATTCCGCACGGAAGTTGCAGGGGTCTCAATTCGCTCTGACTGATAACCTCAATGTGTTTTTTTTTTTTCTTTTACATTTTGGATGGCAAATCCACTCAAGTTATCAGAATGTTGTAATCTCTGAGGTTAAGAAAGAACAACGACTAACTTGAATCAGGGTTAACTCCTAAATGGGAAGACGCATTGCTATTTCTGGAGTCACCCATTGCCCTCATTGAAGAGTCTGCACTTAAGTCCATGATGTTACTCTAGGTTAATTTGAACTGTAGTCGCAGTTAAAGCAGCATTTTTAAGGCCAGAACAGAACATGATGTCATGGATATATCTGGACAATAATGTGATTCCCTTCCTGCCTTGTAATTTAGCTGTGTCTGAAATGGAACCCTATTCCGTACATGGTACCCTATTCCGTACATGGTACCCTATTCCGTACATGGGACCCTATTCCGTACATGGGACCCTATTCCGTACATGGGACCCTATTCCGTACATGGGACCCTATTCCGTACATGGTACCCTATTCCGTACATGGTACCCTATTCCGTACATGGTACCCTATTCCGTACATGGTACCCATAGGGCTCTGGTCAAAAGCAGTCGCTAGGCGGCCATGTTGCTTGCTTCCGGGATGGTATCCTATTCTCTATATAGTCCACTAGTTTTAACAGGGTCAACAGGGCTCTGGTCTAAAGTAATGCACTGTAGGGGATAGGGTGCTATTTGTGACATACACCTGTTCTCTCCAGATATCAGCCCGGTGTCGTGAAGTCCGAGGCAGTCCTAGTATAGATGGTTCATGTAACTATTTCACAGACTCAGTTTCTGTTCTAGTGGAAACGAAAGTGAAAACTGAGTCCGAATTAACGAGCGAGGTTAAAAAGAGCATCTCTAGGACATCTCGTCCTACGCCAGAAAGGTGTTCACTAGGCACCAAATGGGAAGAAAACAGACTGAAACAATGAGGGACTTCCAGAACTTGTCCAACATGTTTCTACGTTGCAAAACGTTTTGGTACGGTGTGCACTAATAAATCCGACACAGACAACTGTGCTAATAGCAGACTGACCGTTGAGAGTCTTGGTATAAATGTCTGACTAATAATGTATCTGTATTGTCTCATGGTATAGGTCGTTATCAATAAAACGTCACAATAAGGTGCGGAGCGTTCGATTTGCCTGCTGGGGGGGGGACAAGGAGACCTGCAGCTCCGCTAAAACCATTGACAACTGTGTGCCATTTTTTCAAGGGATTGTTAAATAAATGTTATAACTATTTGGTCGTAATATCGTCACCTCTTGAAGAGTGTAGTCAGAACTACACATTTCAGATTTTTCCATGCAACGCAATTGCTCACATTTTAGCTCTATCATCATCATCATCATCAGAGTTATAGGCTACACAACAGCAAGTAACCGCATGCTTTTCATGATCAGTAAACATCAATTGATCTTTTAATTTCAGATGCGTGACGGTAGCCTCACAATATCGGCCAACATTAATTGGATATTTGAGTGATAGAAAATAAAAATGAACTATCCCTGACAAGTATGAGTGGTTTAGGTCAGTTTCCCATCCTTTGTGGGCTCTGCCTGTCAAGCAGCAGAAGGGCGCATTTGCCGATAATGTTTACGTTGCAAGCTTCCGGTAGAAACTTTGTACAGTTGGGTAGACCTAATGTACTTTGTTCTCCAACCAACGTAGGGCTACCTAGCGAAGTTAGCTAACTTTATCCCCTTTTCAACATTGTCTTTAAGTGTTTAATCACGATTGCTGCTGACAGACATGATGGGCTACATTGATTGATGGACCACGTCAAATTGGTTAGCTAGATAACCAATCACTTCAATATGGCTAGTTAACGAGCTAACTTTCAGGGGATAAACTAGTTGGCTATATCTAAATATTGTTTGATTTGCTTGCCATCTATAGTGTTGATGACAGTAGTCCTGGTAAAGATGCCAGTCGGATGAGGATTTGGCGACGTCAAGCTCTTTCCAAAAGCGTGATCTCTGATGAAGCTAGCTAAATGACACGTTGTTTGCTTAGCTAGCTAGCTAGCTAGCTACAGTGCCTTCAGAAAGTGTTCATACACATCATGTGGGAAATGTAAAGGGGTTACGCCATGAATTTAAAATGGATTACATTTACATTTATTGTCACTGGCCTACAAATAATACCCCCTAATGTCAAAATGGAATTATGTTTTTCGAAATATTTACAAATTAATAAAAAATGAAAAGCTGAAATGTCTTGAGTCAATAAGGATTCAATCCCTTTGTTATGGCATGCCTAAATACGTTCAGGAGTAAATATTTGCTTAACAAGTCACGTAATAAGTTGCATGGACTCACTCTTACAAGCATTTCGCTACACCCCGCAATAACATCTGCTAAATATGTGTATGGGACCAATCAAATTAGATTTTGTGTACAATAATAGTGTTTAACATGAATTTTGAATGACTACCTCATCTCTGTACACCACATATACAATTATCTGTATGGTCCCTCAGTCGAGCAGTGAATTTCAACCACAAAGAACGGGGAGGTTTTCCAATGCCTTGCAAAGAAGGGCACCTATTGGTAGATTAAAATAAAATAAAAATAAGTATGCACTCACTAACTGTAAGTCGCTCTGGATAAGAGCCTCTGCTAAATGACTACAATGTAGATGGGTCAAAATTAAAAAAGCAGACATTGACCCTTTGAGCATGGTGAAGTTATTAATTACACGTTGGATGGTGTATCAATACACCCAGTCATTACAAAGATACAGGTGTCCTTCCTAACTCAGTTGCCGGAGAGGAAGGAAACCGCTCAGGGATTTCACCATGAGGCCAATGGTGACTTTAAAACAATTAGAGTTTAATGGCTGTGATAGGAGAAAACTGAAGATGGATCAACAACATTGAAGTTATTCCACAATACTAACTTAATTGCCAGAGTAAAAAGAAGGAAGCCTGTACAGAATAAAAATATTCCAAAACATGCATCCTGTTTGCAACAAGGCACTAAAGCAATACTGCAAGAAATGTGACAAAGCAATTCACTTTTCGTCCTGAATACCAAAGTGTTATGTTTCGGGCAAATCCAATACAACACGTTACTTAGGACCACTCTCCATATTTTCATGCATAGTGGTGGCTGCATCATGTTATGGGTATGCTTGTAATCATTAACGACTGGGGAGTTTTTTCAGGATGAAAAATAAACTAAATGGAGCTAAGCACAGGCAAAATTCTAGAGGAAAACCTGCTACACTCTGCTTTCCACCAGACACTGGGAGATGAATTCACCTTTCAGCAGGACAATAACCTAAAACACAAGGCCAAATCTACACTGGAGTTGCTTAGCAAGAAGACGGTGAATGTTACTGAGTGGCCGAGTTACAGTTTTGACTTAAATATACTTGAAAATCTATGGAATGACTTGAAAATGGTTGTCTAGCAATCATCAACAACCAATTTGACAGAGCTTGGTTAATTTTGAAAATAATAATAATGGGCAAATGTTGCACAATCCAGTTGTTGAAAGCTCTTATAGACTTACCCAGAAAGACTAACGGCTGTAATCGCTTCCAAAGTATTGACTTGGGTGTGAATACTTATGTAAATGAGATTTCTGTATTTCAATTCCCCACATTTTCTAAAAACATGTTTTCACATTGGTATCATGGGTTATTGTTTGTAGATGGGGGAGGGGAGGTGGGGGGGACATATTTAATCAATTTTGAATTCAGGTTCAATGTGGAATAGGTCAAGGGCTACGAATACTTTCGTAAGGCACTGTACATGCCAAATGGATCTGGCTTCCCTCACGTGTCTGAAAATACATGATCAATTGATGTTTACTGGTCATGAAAAGCATGCTGTTACTTTCTGTATAATTCTGATGTTAGAGCTAAATGTGGAATAATCTGAAATGTGTAGTTCTGACTATACTCTTAAAGAGGTGATGATATTAAAACCAAATAGTTATAACATTTATTTAACAATCCCTTGAAAAACGGCACGTAGTTGTCAATGGTTTAGCGGAGCTGGGGGTCTCCTTGCACCTCAGCAGCCAATTTGAACACGCTGCACCTTTTTTATTGATGACGACATATAAATATCTAATAATGTATCTGTATTGTCTCCTGCAGTGTTTCTCCCAGCATGTCCTCAACGAGCTGAAGAAGTTTCCCCCAGAGAAGAGGGACGATGTGGTGATCCTGTTCTCAGCTCACTCACTACCCATGTCTGTGAGTACAGGACTACTGACCATTCATGTTCAAGTGAATTAGAAAAAAGAATCCTGTTTTCTACATGCTAAGGACAGACATCTAATCATGACATCAGCATTCCACATGACATCAGCATTACTCATGACATCAGCATTACACATGACATCAGCATTACACATGACATCAGCATTACTCATGACATCAGCATTACACATGACATCAGCATTATACATGACATCAGCATTACTCATGACATCAGCATTACTCATGACATCAGCATTACACATGACATCAGCATTATACATGACATCAGCATTACTCATGACATCAGCATTACTCATGACATCAGCATTACTCATGACATCAGCATTACACATGACATCAGCATTACTCATGACATCAGCATTCCACATGACATCAGCATTACACATGACATCAGCATTCCACATGACATCAGCATTACTCATGACATCACCATTTGTTGTACGCTAGACCTACTAGGGGGGAGGAGCTACTCTTATGCAAGACGTTATCAGTGGAGATTAAACATGGATACTTTTTGTAGTAGAAAGGTCTGATGGTTCAGTCTTGTTGTACTCTCTGTATTCGTGAGTACAGTACTGACCATTCGTAGAATACATATTCCTCTAAGACGTTATCAGGACAGTACTAATTGAGGATTTCATTGAAGACTCATGATACGTGTTTTACTAAAAATTAACATTAAGTAAAAGCACTTTATGTTGACGTGAAAAAGGATGCATAAATATATTTTATTTTATTTGATACATTTTCCTTTCAACTTTTCCTTGAGAAAGAAGTGTTGTTGTCTGTACTCCCCTGTAGCTCAGTTGGTAGAGCATGGCGCTTGCAACGCCAGGGTTGTGGGTTCCTTTCCCACGGGGGGGGGGCCAATATGAAAATGTATGCACTCACTAACTGTAAGTCGCTCTGGATAAGAGCGTCTGCTAAATGACTAAAATGTAAATGTAAATGTCTGTGTAGATGGTCAACCAGGCTAGTTTTCAGTGTTGTCTGTGTAGATGGTCAACCAGGCTAGTTTTCAGTGTTGTCTGTGTAGATTGTCAACCAGGCTAGTTGTCTGTGTAGATGGTCAACCAGGCTAGTTTTCAGTGTTGTCCGTATAGATTGTCAACCAGGCTAGTTTTCTGTGTAGATGGTCAACCAGGCTAGTTTTCAGTGTTGTCTGTATAGATTGTCAACCAGGCTAGTTTTCAGTGTTGTCTGTGTAGATTGTCAACCAGGCTAGTTGTCTGTGTAGATGGTCAACCAGGCTAGTTTTCAGTGTTGTCCGTATAGATTGTCAACCAGGCTAGTTTTCTGTGTAGATGGTCAACCAGGCTAGTTTTCAGTGTTGTCTGTATAGATTGTCAACCAGGCTAGTTTTCAGTGTTGTCTGTGTAGATGGTCAACCAGGCTAGTTTTCAGTGTTGTCTGTATAGATTGTCAACCAGGCTAGTTGTCTGTGTAGATGGTCAACCAGGCTAGTTTTCCGTCTCATTCTTGTCTCTCTCTAGGTGGTGAACAGGGGAGATCCGTACCCTCAGGAGGTTGGAGCCACGGTGCAGAGAGTCATGGAAAGACTACAGCACTGTAACCCCTACCGTCTGGTCTGGCAGTCCAGGGTAAGGACCCCACACACTGTAACCCCTACCGTCTGGTCTGGCAGTCCAGGGTAAGGACCCCACACTGTAACCCCTACCGTCTGGTCTGGCAGTCCAGGGTAAGGACCACACACACTGTAACCCCTACCGTCTGGTCTGGCAGTCCAGGGTAAGGACCCCACACTGTAACCCCTACCGTCTGGTCTGGCAGTCCAGGGTAAGGACCCACACACTGTAACCCCTACCGTCTGGTCTGGCAGTCCAGGGTAAGGACCCCACACTGTAACCCCTACCGTCTGGTCTGGCAGTCCAGGGTAAGGACCCCACACACTGTAACCCCTACCGTCTGTTCTGGCAGTCCAGGGTAAGGACCACACACTGTAACCCCTACCGTCTGGTCTGGCAGTCCAGGGTAAGGACCCCCACACTGTAACCCCTACCGTCTGGTCTGGCAGTCCAGGGTAAGGACCCCACACACTGTAACCCCTACCGTCTGGTCTGGCAGTCCAGGGTAAGGACCCCACACACTGTAACCCCTACCGTCTGGTCTGGCAGTCCAGGGTAAGGACCCCACACTGTAACCCCTACCGTCTGGTCTGGCAGTCCAGGGTAAGGACTACAGCACTGTAACCCCTACCGTCTGGTCTGGCAGTCCAGGGTAAGGACCCACACACTGTAACCCCTACCGTCTGGTCTGGCAGTCCAGGGTAAGGACCCCACACACTGTAACCCCTACCGTCTGGTCTGGCAGTCCAGGGTAAGGACCCCACACTGTAACCCCTACCGTCTGGTCTGGCAGTCCAGGGTAAGGACCCCACACACTGTAACCCCTACCGTCTGGTCTGGCAGTCCAGGGTAAGGACCCCACACTGTAACCCCTACCGTCTGGTCTGGCAGTCCAGGGTAAGGACCCCACACTGTAACCCCTACCGTCTGGTCTGGCAGTCCAGGGTAAGGACCCCACACACTGTAACCCCTACCGTCTGGTCTGGCAGTCCAGGGTAAGGACCCCACACACACACACACACACACACACACACACACACACACACACACACACACACACTATGCTGTCTTTCATCTGTGGTGCAGAGAATTACAGCCCCAAAGCTAAGATGACTTCTACCCTCATGGTTACCTCTACCACACGGAGCCAATGGCTCAGGACTGTATTGTTGTGCTGTAGTGATCTTGTGGTGAAAAGGCATCTCCATCCATGATACAACACTGTGTAGGGTGTCCACTCAACCCAGAATGAGTGAAAAGGCGCTTTGGTGATGAAGTCGTACTTCCTTTTGTTATGAAATACATTTTACCAAGACGAATGTTACGTTTTGCGGTCGTCGTCTTCAAAGTTGTTTCCGCGGGTCGTAAAAAGCGAAATGAGCATGACACAAGCTGAATTAAACGTAAAAGGCTTTGAAAATAAAAGCTTGGTTATACGCTCAGTGCTCCGTTGACATTTTCAGAGATGCGCTTGTTTTTGTGAGGAATCTTCGAAAAAAGAACAGGAGTTTTGAATTGGTATGAAAAGCGTGTACTAAAATATGAAAATGCTACATGTCGTCTCAAAAGCAGTCTCCATAGAGGCGTCACTACAGACCCGGGTAGTGATCATTGATATTATTGATGTTTAAACGCGGGGCTGAGATCATTGATATTATTGATGTTTAAACGCAGGGCTGAGATCATTGATATTATTGATGTTTAAACGCAGGGCTGAGATCATTGATATTATTGATGTTTAAACGCGGGGCTGAGATCATTGATATTATTGATGTATAAACGCGGGGCTGAGATCATTGATATTATTGATGTATAAACGCAGGGCTGAGATCATTGATATTATTGATGTATAAACGCAGGGACTGAGATCATTGATATTGATGTATAAACGCAGGGCTGAGATCATTGATATTATTGATGTTTAAACGCAGGGCTGAGATCATTGATATTATTGATGTTTAAACGCAGGGCTGAGATCATTGATATTATTGATGTTTAAACGCAGGGCTGAGATCATTGATATTATTGATGTTTAAACGCAGGGCTGAGATCATTGATATTGATGTTTAAACGCAGGGCTGAGACAGAGCAGACCGAAAGCATCTGAAGTGATACATGTAGACCCGAACCTGTGGTGATCAGTACGTAATGCCAGTCTATATGTGGTGGCCCTGGCCCTAACCCTAGCCCTGGCCCTAACGCTGGCCCTAACGCTGGCCCTAACGCTGGCCCTAACGCTGGCCCTAACGCTGGCCCTAACCCTGGCCCTGGCCCTAACCCTAACCCTGGGCCTCACCAGGTTTCATAACTGACACATCACATAATAATTAGGTCAGCCACAGCAGTTTAACAGCAAGGATCTTCTAAATACTATATTATCAATTTGATTAGAACTCTTAATGTATTCACAGATATAATGCTCTGTCTTAATTGAAAAGCCTGAATTATTTAATTCCTTTTTAATTATGGAAAGTGTGTTGTGACCCATGTGAAATGCACTTAGGTGAATTTTTAATTTTTGCGTTGTCATTTCAGAAAATGTCTGTAATATATCTGCAGTGATAGTGGAATGATAGTGTTTCACAGTATTACTTACCCACCAGTGTTGTGATTGGCTGTAATATTCGCCTATTGATTTCTATGACAACAGATGCCGGAGCGGTGTCTGTTGTCATAATGGAAAAGATGTTTCAACTTTAGCTGTGTTTATCTAGTAGAAATCGGGTCAAGTGGCCAATGTAGAAATCGCTCTGTCATTTCCTGGTTGTGAAAATGTTTCACTGTTCGCTCAATTTCAGTTTGTGAGAAAACAAACACTGAATAGTATATGGAATCATTGTACCATCTAAATTGCTGTGAAATATATTTTCAATAACACAAAATATAGTTTTTCCTGCTGTTTGAAGCTGGTGGACCAAAACCGAAAGTTAAAGGCTCGAGCGTCAGTCTCCACCATGTTACAGAGAAGTGGGCGAGGGGGAGATTATGTTTTGAATGCAGCCTAGTGCTGTTGCAAATTCACCTAGCTTCCACATACGTGAGAAATTCTAGGTGTCGCAACCCTTTTCAAATAAATCTGACTTGATTGTGTCTCTGTCCTCCCTAGGTGGGTCCTATGCCATGGCTGGGCCCTCAGACAGACGATGTCATCAAGGGTCTGTGTGAGCGGGGGAAGAAGAACCTTCTGCTGGTCCCCATCGCCTTCACCAGCGACCACATCGAGACGCTGCATGAACTGGACATCGAGTACTCTCAGGTGCTGGGAGAGGAGGTATGTGGTACTGTACTGAGGTGTGAGTGAACTGGACATCGAGTACTCTCAGGTGCTGGGAGAGGAGGTATGTGTGAGCTAGACTCCCTCTTGAGGTCAGTTAATTAATTAAATTTTAATTAATTTTTAATTAATTGGTCATTTAGCAGACGCTCTTATCCAGAGCGACTTACAGGAGCAATTAGGGTTAAGTGCCTTGCTCAAGGGCACATCGACAGATTTTTCACCTAGTCGGCTTGGGGATTAGAACCAGCGACCTTTCGGTTACTGGTACAACTCTCTTAACCACTAAGCTACCTGCCGCCGCGTTATTATGATGTGGAAAACTGAGAAGTGAAGATTATACGTGACGGATGTTATCTAGAAAAGAGTGTCCTTACATCAAAGATTCTGACATATAAGCAGAATAGTAGAGTGTCCTGAAGAGTGTGTGTGTGTGTGTGTGCGCGTGCGACAGGAGGACTATAGCCACCATACTAACAACAGATCAGTTAGGAGTGGTGCCTAGCATGCTTAGTAATGTTTCTAAAACAAGGAATATATTACTAGTAAGAAGTCATGTGGTATATTTCTCAATTTCATATTTTGTATCCCGAGTCTTTTTAATCAAAATATAAGACCCATATTTTCAGCTGCCCCCTTTTCAAGGTTACTGTGGTAATGGGGCCACTGTGCCTGTGAGAGTCTGACTAGTAGAGGCCCCTGAGGTATAACTGGTATAATATTAACAGTAGAGGCCCCTGAGGTATAACTGGTATAATATTAACAGTAGAGGCCCCTGAGGTATAACTGGTATAATATTAACAGTAGAGGCCCCTGAGGTATAACTGGTATAATATTAACAGTAGAGGCCCCTGAGGTATAACTGGTATAATATTAACAGTAGAGGCCCCTGAGGTATAACTGGTATAATATTAACAGTAGAGGCCGACGACGTCGCTTCTCTTCACTAGCAGTGGAAGGAAACTCAAACATTGAAAAACAACCTATAACTTATTCAATAAACAGGACAATAAAGTCTCTTCGTTTGACCAACTTTTATGCCTGTGCACATTACTTCAGCAAGCCAGCCCCCCAGCCAGCCAGCCCCCTAGCCAGCCCCCCAGTCAGCCAGCCCCCCAGCCAGCCAGCCCCCCAGCCAGCCAGCCCCCCAGTCAGCCAGCCCCCTAGCCAGCCCCCTAGCCAGCCAGCCAGCCAGTCAGCCAGCCAGTCAGTGTTGCTGCGGGGAGGTGGGGTAGGTAGCTATAACGTTAGGATTGCTATTTCTTTGTGCATTACCAGATATGAAACAAAATGGCAGAAATACTTTGAAAACAGCTACTGCGGGATTTATTTAGGTATAAATCACTACTCGCGCATGTGCCCATACTTGACTTTTGACTATTTTTATAAAATGCTGGTACTGTAGAGCCCTTAGTGTGACCACTGGTGAATTAGACGTTGCCAATGCCAAAATCTACCTGCATTTGGCGGGTGTTCATTTTAGGCTTTCTCTCCTCTCTCTCCCCGTGTCTCTCTCTCTGTCTCGTCTCTCCCCGTGTCTCTCTCCCCGTCTCTCGTCTCTCCCCGTCTCTCTCTCTGTCTCGTCTCTCTCCGTCTCTCTCTGTCTCGTCTCTCTCTGTCTCGTCTCTCTGTGTCTCGTCTCTCCCCGTCTGTCTCGTCTCTCCCCGTCTCTCTCTGTCTCTCTCTGTCTCGTCTCTCTCTGTCTCGTCTCTCCCCGTCTCTCTCTCTCTCTGTCTCGTCTCTCCCCGTCTCTCTCTCTCTGTCTCGTCTCTCCCCGTCTCTCTCTCTCTGTCTCGTCTCTCCCCGTCTCTCTCCGTCTCTCTCTGTCTCGTCTCTCCCCGTCTCTCTCTGTCTCGTCTCTCCCCGTCTCTCTCTGTCTCGTCTGTCTCGTCTCTCTCTGTCTCGTCTCTCTCTGTCTCGTCTCTCTCTGTCTCGTCTCTCTCTGTCTCGTCTCTCTCTGTCTCGTCTCTCCCCGTCTCTCTCTGTCTCGTCTCGCTCTGTCTCGTCTCTCCCCGTCTCTCTCTGTCTCGTCTCTCTCTGTCTCGTCTCTCCTCGTCTCTCTCTGTCTCGTCTCTCCTCTCTGTCTCGTCTCTCTCTGTCTCGTCTCTCCTCGTCTCTCCCCGTCTCTCGTCTCTCCCCGTCTCTCTCTCTCTCTCGTCTCTCTCTGTCTCGTCTCTCGTCTCTCCCCGTCTCTCTCTCTCCCCGTCATCAGTCTCTGCGATGTCCCTGCTAGGGCTCTCTTCTCCTTTGACTAGCTAGTGGTTTTTGAACCCCATCCTCCCTGAGGGCCAACCCTAAAGCTGGAGCCACTTGTTGTTTATCTCTGCTTCTGATCTCAGAGCCCCTGGATGTAGCCAGACCTGTCACTGATATTACAGTAGACTGATCCCAGACCTGTCACTGATATTACAGTAGACTGATCCCAGACCTGTCACTGATATTACAGTAGACTCATCCCAGACCTGTCACTAATATTACAGTAGACTGATCCCAGACCTGTCACTGATATTACAGTAGACTGTGTACCGTAATTTTCGGACTATAATCCGCGCCTTTTTTCAAAATTTTCGACCCTGCGGCTTATATAACGGTGCGGCTAATCTATGGATTTTTACAGCTAACGGCCACTAGAAGACCTCCTAAATCTATGGATTTTACAGGTTACAGTCCACCAACTTTAACTCTATGGGCTCTATGACCGGTCCGCGCCCCCCACCTTTAAGCGGCGGGCTCCAGCAGGAAAAGCTGGAGGCCGGAAAAGAGTGAGACAGGTAGCGCGCGCAAAAGTAAAAGTGGAACCAAGAGTGGTACGAGAGACAGAACGAGAGCAAGACAGACAGACATTACGAGAGCGAGACAGTTTGTCTCTTTCCCGACAATCCCCTCTGTGCACGAACCCTTACATATGGTAATTAAACATTAAAACACCTGCGGCTTATAGTCCACTGTGGCTTATATATGTCAACATCATTCAATATCATTCAATTTAGCTGCTGCGGCTTATACTCCGGTGCGGAAAATACGGTACTCTTCCGAGTCATTAAAGGAGGACATGGTTTCTGTAGGTTGAATTGAGTTGTGTTTGTCTGTGGACCCTTATTCTACCACTATAGAAGTTTAAAGTAGACTGTCCCGTCCACCAGGCTAAAGTCTCAAGAATATTACTGACTGTACAGGAGAATTCAATGTCTGACTGTTGTTTTACCTTCCTGCTTGTTGTGGTGCTGAGTTAACCAAGTCCTATGTTCTCTCACAGTGTGGTGTGGAAAACATCCGAAGGGCTGAATCTCTGAATGGAAACCCAATCTTTTTCCAGGTAAGAGAGGAAACTGACATATTTGAAATGCTTTCTTCACAGTACATAGGGGGGCCTAAGCGTCCTTATCAAAAGCACCAACTTACATTTTGTGAACTTGCCCAGCCCTGCCTGGTCCTACATGTAAATCTTCTTCTGTGGAAACTACTCCAGGTGGTTTTAGTCTTGGTCATTCTCAGATTGTTAATTCCGTTAACCGCTGCCGCCTTCAATTAGAAGCTGTTAAAGGATTTGTAGCGTTATCTAACGTAGTGACTGAGGGTCCAGATGCTGAAAGGCCTCTTCTGTAAACGCCTTAATACAGGTTTGGTTCCTTTACACGTTTCCATAGATGAAAGGAGATTTGCTGTTGCAGTTCAAATGTATTTATTACTCACTCAAGTTAATTGTCCGTTGTGTGTCACACAGATTCCAGGTTGGTAAGTGGTAAAAGACTGCATTGTAATCCATTGTACTCCTGAGTGGCGCAGTGGTCTAAGGCACTGCATTGCAGTGCTAACTGTGCCACTAGAGATCCTGGTTCGAATCCAGGCTCTGTCGCAGCCGGCCGCGACCGGGAGACTCATGGGCGGCGCACAATTGGCCCAGCGTCGTCCAGGGTAGGGGAGGGAATGGCCGGCAGGGATGTAGCTCAGTTGATAGAGCATGGCGTTTGCAACGCCAGGGTTGTGGGTTCGTTTCCCAGGGGGGGGCCAGTATAAAAAAAATAAAAAATATATGTATTCACTAACTGTAAGTCGCTCTGGATAAGAGCGTCTGCTAAATGACTAAAATGTAAATGTAAAATGTTAAACGGGTTCCAAGTGGTATGAACGGCAAAAGGGTCAAATCCCAAAGTACAAAATGATAAGTAGCAACGTGCAAATTAAATCCAAAAGAAATGGTAGAAAACTGTTGCTCTGCTAGGTGTCTTCCATCAGGTCAATCAGCTGTCCTCATGCGTTACTGACACCATCTTTACCCAAAACCCTTCATTCTATATTCTTACAGGTAAACCATAGGTTTCCACCGGGTGTCACAATAGCATCTGTAAAAGCCTTCTAATATACATATTTAACATAATGAAGTTTACATACATACATTCCTCTACAATAATAATAATTTTCTATACATTTCTATATCTCTCATAAATCAGCCAAAATAAGGTGAATACAGTTTATTTCTTACATCAAAATGGCTCTAGCGACGTGTGTTTTAAAATGGATGGCTAGACAGCCCAAGCATGGGATAAAGCAGTCAGTCAGTGTTGCAGTGTTGCTCATTCAATATCCCCAGTGTAAGATCCAAGCAAATACGAGGCATGTGCTGCTTCTCGCTTCTGACTCGGAGAGATGGTGAGACTTAAACATTGGTGCTGGGATCAAAGATGTTCAGTTCGGAGAGCCGTTTGACGCAGCAGCCCCTCCTTGATCTCTGACTTCTAACTCTCTGTGAGGGGTTCGTTTAGAGAGGGGGACTGTGGGTGGTTGGTCTGAGCAGCACTACCAGACCCCAGCTAGCTAGCTGAGCTGGGAAGAAAGCCCCGGGGAACAGCTGTTTAAGAAAGGGATTGCCCTAGCCCTCCTCTCCATCCCTCTCTCCATCCCCACTCAGTGCTCCTACAAGGCCGTCTCGCTCTCTTTCTGTCTCTCCCCCTCTTTCTTTCTCTCTAGGCTACTCTGCGTACTCTCTAGGCTACTCTGCGTACTCTCTAGGCTACTCTGCGTACTCTCTCGGCTACTCTGTGTACTCTCTAGGCTACTCTGTGTACTCTCTAGGCTACTCTGTGTACTCTCTAGGCTACTCTGTGTACTCTCTAGGCTACTCTGTGTACTCCCTAGGCTACTCTGCGTACTCTCTAGGCTACTCTGCGTACTCTCTAGGCTACTCTGTGTACTCTAGGCTACTCTGTGTACTCTCTAGGCTACTCTGCGTACTCTCTAGGCTACTCTGCGTACTCTCTAGGCTACTCTGCGTACTCTCTAGGCTACTCTGCGTACTCTCTAGGCTACTCTGCGTACTCTCTAGGCTACTCTGCGTACTCTCTAGGCTACTCTGTGTACTCTAGGCTACTCTGTGTACTCTCTAGGCTACTCTGCGTACTCTCTAGGCTACTCTGCGTACTCTCTAGGCTACTCTGTGTACTCTCTAGGCTACACTGTGTACTCTAGGCTACTCTGCGTACTCTCTAGGCTACTCTGTGTACTCTAGGCTACTCTGTGTACTCTCTAGGCTACTCTGCGTACTCTCTAGGCTACTCTGCGTACTCTCTAGGCTACTCTGCGTACTCTCTAGGCTACTCTACTCTGCGTACTCTCTAGGCTACTCTGCGTACTCTCTAGGCTACTCTGTGTACTCTAGGCTACTCTGTGTACTCTCTAGGCTACTCTGCGTACTCTCTAGGCTACTCTGCGTACTCTCTAGGCTACTCTGTGTACTCTCTAGGCTACTCTGTGTACTCTAGGCTACTCTGCGTACTCTCTAGGCTACTCTGCGTACTCTCTAGGCTACTCTGCGTACTCTCTAGGCTACACTGTGTACTCTAGGCTACTCTGCGTACTCTCTAGGCTACTCTGTGTACTCTCTAGGCTACTCTACGTACTGTCTCGGCTACTCTGCGAACTCTCTAGGCTACTCTGTGTACTCTCTAGGCTACTCTGCGTACTCTCTAGGCTACTCTGTGTACTCTCTAGGCTACTCTGTGTACTCTAGGCTACTCTGCGTACTCTCTAGGCTACTCTGCGTACTCTCTAGGCTACTCTGCGTACTCTCTAGGCTACTCTGTGTACTCCCTAGGCTACTCTGTGTACTCTCTAGGCTACTCTGCGTACTCTCTAGGCTACTCTGTGTACTCTCTAGGCTACTCTGCGTACTCTCTAGGCTACTCTGCGTACTCTAGGCTACTCTGTGTACTCTCTAGGCTACTCTACGTACTGTCTCGGCTACTCTGCGTACTCTCTAGGCTACTCTGCGTACTCTCTAGGCTACTCTGCGTACTCTCTAGGCTACTCTACCTACTGTCTCGGCTACTCTGTGTACTCTCTAGGCTACTCTTCGTACTCTAGGCTACTCTGCGTACTCTCTAGGCTACTCTACCTACTGTCTCGGCTACTCTGTGTACTCTCTAGGCTACTCTTCGTACTCTAGGCTACTCTTCGTACTCTAGGCTACTCTTCGTACTCTAGGCTACTCTGCGTACTCTCTAGGCTACTCTGCGTACTCTCTAGGCTACTCTGCGTACTCTCTAGGCTACTCTACCTACTGTCTCGGCTACTCTGTGTACTCTCTAGGCTACTCTTCGTACTCTAGGCTACTCTGCGTACTCTCTAGGCTACTCTGTGTACTCTCTAGGCTACTCTTCGTACTCTAGGCTACTCTGTGTACTCTCTAGGCTACTCTGTGTACTCTAGGCTACTCTGTGTACTCTCTAGGCTACTCTGTGTACTCTAGGCTACTCTGCGTACTCTCTAGGCTACTCTACGTACTCTCTAGGCTACTCTGTGTACTCTCTAGGCTACTCTGTGTACTCTAGGCTACTCTGTGTACTCTCTAGGCTACTCTGTGTACTCTAGGCTACTCTGCGTACTCTCTAGGCTACTCTACGTACTCTCTCGGCTACTCTGTGTACTCTCTAGGCTACTCTTCGTACTCTAGGCTACTCTGTGTACTCTCTAGGCTACTCTGCGTACTCTCTAGGCTACTCTGTGTACTCTCTAGGCTACTCTGCGTACTCTCTAGGCTACTCTGCGTACTCTCTAGGCTACTCTACGTACTGTCTCGGCTACTCTGCGTACTCTCTAGGCTACTCTGTGTACTCTAGGCTACTCTGCGTACTCTCTAGGCTACTCTGTGTACTCTAGGCTACTCTGTGTACTCTCTAGGCTACTCTGCGTACTCTCTAGGCTACTCTGTGTACTCTAGGCTACTCTGCGTACTCTCTAGGCTACTCTGTGTACTCTCTAGGCTACTCTTCGTACTCTAGGCTACTCTGTGTACTCTCTAGGCTACTCTTCGTACTCTAGGCTACTCTGTGTACTCTCTAGGCTACTCTGTGTACTCTCTAGGCTACTCTGTGTACTCTCTAGGCTACTCTGCGTACTCTCTAGGCTACTCTGCGTACTCTCTAGGCTACTCTGTGTACTCTCTAGGCTACTCTGTGTACTCTCTAGGCTACTCTGTGTACTCCCTAGGCTACTCTGTGTACTCTCTAGGCTACTCTGTGTACTCTCTAGGCTACTCTGTGTACTCTCTAGGCTACTCTGTGTACTCTCTAGGCTACTCTGTGTACTCTCTAGGCTACTCTGTGTACTCCCTAGGCTACTCTGTGTACTCTCTAGGCTACTCTGCGTACTCTCTAGGCTACTCTGTGTACTCTCTAGGCTACTCTGCGTACTCTCTAGGCTACTCTGTGTACTCTCTAGGCTACTCTGCGTACTCTCTAGGCTACTCTGTGTACTCTCTAGGCTACTCTGCGTACTCTCTAGGCTACTCTGTGTACTCTCTAGGCTACTCTGTGTACTCTCTAGGCTACTCTGTGTACTCTCTAGGCTACTCTGTGTACTCTCTAGGCTACTCTGCGTACTCTCTAGGCTACTCTGTGTACTCTCTAGGCTACTCTGTGTACTATGTTTTTATAATGTGTATTTATTTTTTCATTTTGTTTATGGTGAAGTTGCTTATGGGTAAGCAATTCAATGTATTTTTTTTATATACAGTGAGGGAAAAAAGTATTTGATCCCCTGCTGATTTTGTACATTTGCCAACTGACAAAGACATGATCACTCTATAATTTTAATGGTAGGTTTATTTGAACAGTGAGAGACAGAATAACAACAACAAAATCCAGAAAAACGCATGTCAAAAATGTTATAAATTGATTTGCATTTTAATTTAATTCTCAATCAGAAAGATTTCTGGCTCCCAGGTGTCTTTTATACAGGTAACGAGCTGAAATTAGGAGCACACTCTTAAAGGGAGTGCACCTAATCTCAGCTTGTTACCTGTATAAAAGACACCTGTCCACAGAAGCAATCAATCAATCAGATTCCAAACTCTCCACCATGGCCAAGACCAAAGAGCTCTCCAAGGATGTCAGGGACAAGATTTTAGACCTACACAAGGCTGGAATGGGCTACAAGACCATCGGCAAGCAGCTTGGTGAGAAGGTGACAACAGTTGGTGTGATTATTCGCAAATGGAAGAAACACAAACGAACTGTCAATCTCCCTCGGCCTGGGGCTCCATGCAAGATCTCACCTCGTGGAGTTGCAATGATCATGAGAACGGTGAGGAATCAGCCCAGAACTACACGGGAGGATCTTGTCAATGAAGGCAATCAATCAAGGCTGGGTATTCCAGCATGACAATGACCCAAAACACACGGCCAAGGCAACAAAGGAGTGGCTCAAGAAGAAGCACATTAAGGTCCTGGAGTGGCCTAGCCAGTCTCCAGACCTTAATCCCATAGAAAATCTGTGGAGGGAGCTGAAGGTTCGAGTTGCCAAACGTCAGCCTCGAAACCTTAATGACTTGGAGAAGATCTGCAAAGAGGAGTGGGACAAAATCCCTCCTGAGATGTGAGCAAACCTGGTGGCCAACTACAAGAAAAGTCTGACCTTTGTGATTGCCAACAAGGGTTTTGCCACCAAGTACTAAGTCATGTTTTGCAGAGGGGTCAAATACTTATTTCCCTCATTAAAATACAAATCAATTTATAACATTTTTGACATGCGTTTTTCTGGATTTTTCTGTTGTTATTCTGTCTCTCCCTGTTCAAATAAACCTACCATTAAAATTATAGACTGATCATGTCTTTGTCAGCGGGCAAACGTACAAAATCAGCAGGGGATCAAATACTTTTTTCCCTCACTGTATATATATATATATATATATATATATATATATATGACAAATAAACCAAACATTGACCCTTGCTTTCCTCTCTCAGGCTCTTGCTGACCTGGTCCAAACCCACCTGAAGTCAGGCGAGTCCTGCTCCCGTCAGCTCACCCTGCGCTGCCCACTGTGTATCAACCCCACCTGCGGAGCAACCAAAGCCTTCTTCGCCAATCAGAAATGACCCTCCTCCTCCTCAAACCATCTACTAGTGTTGCAAACTGCAGGTTACTATCTCAAAAGTCCTGGTTTCCCTGAAATCCTACTTGGATGATTCTGAATTTCCTGTTTATTTCTTCCTGATTCCTGGATTCTTCCAACCGGGATTTCTGGGAAAGCTGGGAGTTCTGAGAAAGTCACCAGAATTGTGGCACCCTACTCTCTATCCAACTGTTACTACGGGACAGAGCACACATTTCTAAGGAACCACCATAAGAAGAAGCAGACAAACTAGTAAACAAGCTGTCAGTACGCACAGTGACGAGAAGAGGAGTTGCACTTATTTTGTCCCCCCGCCGCTCGCTTACATTCCATCCGTTGAATCCCTGGAAAACTAGAATCCTTTCAAAGATGAAGAGAAACTGTATCCTTTCTCACCTGGTGCTTGTCCAGTTGGTTGTACGCCAATGCTCTGGGACAGTTGTGAAGCGTGCTCCCCCTCCATTCTGGTATGTCATCCAGTGTCTCTTTGAGACCCTCTCTGGTGTCTGGAGGACTGTCCCCTGATTTGAGACCCTCTCTGGTGTCTGGAGGACTGTCCCCTGATTTGAGACCCTCTCTGGTGTCTGGAGGACTGTCCCCTGATTTGAGACCCTCTCTGGTGTCTGGAGGACTGTCCCCTGATTTGAGACCCTCTAGTATCTCCTCTCTGTCTTTAGAGTATCCCTGCATCCATCCTTGTAGAGCCTCTCATCCAGAGTCGATGCTCTTACCTCTCCCACCCAGCAACCTCCTCTGACCTCTAATCTCTTATAGGGCACCATCACCCCTGGCACCACTTCTACAAAGTGCTGCTGCACATCTTGCCCCTGCATGAGTCCCTGTCTCTCCCCGGCCGGCCTCTCACCTCCCTGCTTCGGTGCTGCAGGGTCCTCCATTCCTGTCTCTCCCCGGCCAGCCTCTCACCTCCCTGCTTCGGTGCTGCAGAGTCCCCCATCCCTGTCTCTCCCCGGCCGGCCTCTCACCTCCCTGCTTCGGTGCTGCAGAGTCCCCCATCCCTGTCTCTCCCCGGCCGGCCTCTCACCTCCCTGCTTCGGTGCTACAGAGTCCCCCATCCCTGTCTCTCCCCGGCCGGCCTCTCACCTCCCTGCTTCGGTGCTGCAGAGTCCCCCATCCCTGTCTCCCCCCGGCCGGCCTCTCACCTCCCTGCTTCGGTCCTGCAGAGTCCCCCATCCCTGTCTCTCCCCGGCCGGCCTCTCACCTCCCTGCTTCGGTGCTGCAGGGTCCCCCATCCCTGTCTCCCCCCGGCCGGCCTCTCACCTCCCTGCTTCGGTCCTGCAGAGTCCTCCATCCCTGTCTCTCCCCGGCCGGCCTCTCACCTCGCCTCTCAGCTCTGAACCTGCTACCGGTCAAAGTCTAACTATGGTCTCCATGGCCTTGTCCACCTAACCTGAGCTGATAGCACTGTGTTATAGCGGCTGCTGTTTAGACAGACACAGACAGACGCTTAGCGACTAGCATGCTTCTCCTTTGTCCTCGGTCGGTCAAGCACTCAGAGTAACATGTCATAACGTGCCTTTTTTACACTTTCTCTTTGAACATTATGGATTCAACTCTGTGCTTTATATGTAATTTACTAAAATGTGATAATTACCAGGGTCGTGTTCATCAGGGCACACCGTAACTAAACAAGAAAATGAGTGTTTCATATTGGGCAAGTTCGGAGAGTACGCCTCTGTTTCGGGCATATTCTTCCGTTAACGTGCCTGCTGAACACAATCCAGATTCTAATGTATTTAAGAAGTCATCAGCCATGTTGAAGAATCTTGATGTATACGAATTGAGGTTTGTTTTTAGATGTGTGGATACCATAGTGTAATAAGACATTATACAATGGCATTGTTGAATACTCGTGTCTGATTTGGCTTGAAGGACATTCTAGAGCGTGCATTATTTCCCTATAACGCATGGCGTATCAGCACGGTAGAATTCAATGGCTTTAGTTCATTCTTACATGTTCTATATGTTTGAGTTTGCTTTTGAAAGCAAAAGTCGATTTTAAAACATTGGCAGTGTTGAATTCTATTTTCATAATAGCAAGTTAGAACTGATGGTTTGGTTAGCTAAAGGAGGAAATCTGTTTGTTTGGTTACCACGGCAACTACTGTAGCTATCCAGTAAACCTGCTAGCTATGTCGGTGGACGTTGAACACATTTCTACTGGCAAATGTGTTAAATTTGAGCCATGGTATAAAAGGGATAATCAACTCGGCTCTCTGCGTTCTCTGAGAAATAATGCTACTCTGTTGAAGGTTAATTCCACTCTGCTAGAACATGTCGTGGAACACACCTTCCACGTCGTTATTTTCCGTAGATCGCTTAGCCCTCGTTGATTATCCCTTACAGATATGATGTGTATATGTATGAGATGCCACTTCATGTTACATCATTGTCATTTTTTTTGTGGTTGTTTTATTTATTTGTCATATATTTTTACTGGAATACAACATTAACCACAAGTCTTCCATCAAATCTAATAAAATGGACAACATGAAAACATTTGCATCATTTCATCAAAGATCTTCAGCAACCCAGTCCTACATCTGGAGGGGATGGGCTATTAGAGGAGGGAGGGGGGATGGGCTATTAGAGGAGGGAGGGGGGGTGGGCTATTAGAGGAGGGAGGGGGGGATGGGCTATTAGAGGAGGGAGGGGGTGGGCTATTAGAGGAGGGAGGGGGGTGGGCTATTAGAGGAGGGAGGGGGGTGGGCTATTAGAGGGGGAGGGGGGGGGGCTATTAGAGGGGGGGGCTATTGGGGGGGGGGGGCTATTAGAGGAGGGAGGGGGGTGGGCTATTAGAGGAGGGAGGGGGGTGGGCTATTAGAGGAGGGAGGGGGGTGGGCTATTAGAGGAGGGAGGGGGTGGGCTATTAGAGGGGGGGGGGTGGGTATTAGAGGGGGGGGGGGATGGGCTATTAGAGGAGGGGGGGGATGGGCTATTAGAGGAGGGAGGGGGGTGGGCTATTAGAGGAGGGAGGGGGGGGACTATTAGAGGAGGGGGGGGGGGGAATTGGCTATTAGAGGAGGGAGGGGGGTGGGCTATTAGAGGGGAGGGGGATGGGCTATTAGAGGAGGGGGGGGATGGGCTATTAGAGGAGGGAGGGGGGGGTTTTATTAGAGGAGGGGGAGGGGGAGGGCTATTAGAGGAGGGGGGGGGGTGGGAGTATTAGAGGAGGGAGGGGGATGGGCTATTAGAGGAGGGAGGGGGATGGGCTATTAGAGGAGGGAGGGGGGTGGCTATTAGAGGAGGGAAGGGAGGGGGGTGGGCTATTAGAGGAGGGAGGGGGATGGGCTATTAGAGGGGGGGGGGGGCTATTAAGGGGGGGGGGGCTATTAGAAGGAGGGGGGGGGTGGGGCTATTAGAGGAGGGAGGGGGATGGGCTATTAGAGGAGGGGGGGATGGGCTATTAGAGGAGGGGGGGGGTGGGCTATTAGAGGAGGGAGGGGATGGGCTATTAGAGGGGGGGGGCTATTAGAGGGAGGGGGGGGGATGGTATTAGAGGAGGGAGGGGGATGGGCTATTAGAGGAGGGAGGGGGGTGGGCTATTAGAGGAGGAAGGGGGGTGGGCTATTAGAGGAGGGAGGGGATGGGCTATTAGAGGGGGGGGGGGGATGGGCTATATTAGAGGAGGGAGGGGGGTGGGCTATTAGAGGAGGGAGGGGATGGGCTATTAGAGGGGGGGGGCTATTAGAGGAGGGAGGGGGGTGGGTTATTAGAGGGGGGGGGCTATTAGAGGAGGGAGGGGATGGGCTATTAGAGGAGGGAGGGGGATGGGCTATTAGAGGAGGGAGGGGGGTGGGCTATTAGAGGAGGGAGGGGGGTGGGCTATTAGAGGAGGAGGGGGGCTGGGCTATTAGAGGAGGGGGGGATGGGCTATTAGAGGAGGGAGGGGGATGGGCTATTAGAGGAGGGAGGGGGGTGGGCTATTAGAGGAGGGAGGGGGATGGGCTATTAGAGGGGGGGGTATTAGAGGAGGGGGGGATGGGCTATTAGAGGAGGGAGGGGGATGGGCTATTAGAGGAGGGAGGGGATGGGCTATTAGAGGAGGAGGGGGGATGGGCTATTAGAGGAGGGGGGGGGGCTATTAGAGGAGGGGGGGATGGGCTATTAGAGGAGGGAGGGGGGTGGGCTATTAGAGGAGGGGGGGGGGATGGGCTATTAGAGGAGGGAGGGGGGTGGGCTATTAGAGGAGGGGGGGGGGGGATGGGCTATTAGAGGAGGGGGGGGATGGGCTATTAGAGGAGGGGGGGGGATGGGCTATTAGAGGAGGGGGGGCTATTAGTGGAGGGAGGGGGGTGGGCTATTAGAGGAGGGAGGGGGATGGGCTATTAGAGGAGGGAGGGGGGGATGGGCTATTAGAGGAGGGAGGGGGATGGGCTATTAGAGGAGGGGAGAGGTGGATGAGGAAGTGTGTGTGTGTGTTCAGCAGCAGGGTATTGAGAGGTGAGGAGGAATGAAATGAGAGAATGAGTGTCCAGGCCAGAGTGGATTGACTGAAGGTGGGATTGGAGAAAACGGGGTGGTGGACCCGGCCGAGTAGGGGAGGAAAGGGGGTGGTGGACCCGGCCGAGTAGGGGAGGAAAGGGGGTGGTGGACCCGGCCGAGTAGGGGAGGAAAGGAGGGGAGGTGGACCCGGCCGAGTAGGGGAGGAAAGGAGGGGAGGTTATGAGATTAGGAGTTACAACAATAACAGGGAGAAGATGTGCCAGACATGCATTTCATGGTTCTCCATTTCACCCATAACATATGTGATTGATTCTTCGTGATAGATTGAATGCTTGTAATAACATGTCACCTTTTATGCAACAATGGTCTAGCTCTGGTCCAGGGCGTTTAGGTGTGTCTTTGTGATGCTGAGCTGCACATAAACCCCATGGACCAGAGCTAAGAAGGAGCTATCCTTCTCCTGTTCTATGGGAAGTGGTTCACCATCACTGGACTGACCATCACTCTGACACTGAGACAAACAAGCTTCTGAATAATGTGTGTCCATTGTACAGTGTATTCAACAGGACTTCCATAGACTCAACAAATGCTAGTATCGCTGTTAACCGTCTAGACTTTGGGATCTGCTGTAGCCTTGGAAACCATAAGGGATTGTTCATATAAAGACTTTACAACGGAACAGCCTCCAACTGTGAACAGAGAGCTGCTTCTCTAATATTTCCAAGTTCTCTTGGCGTTTTTTCGACTGTGAATAGTGGAGGGATGTTGCCAGATTGGAGCCTCTTGATTGCCAGATTGGAGCCTCTTGATTGCCAGATTGGAGCCTCTTGATTGCCAGATTGGAGCCTCTTGATTGCTAGATTGGAGCCTCTTGATTGCCAGATTGGAGCCTCTTGATTGCCAGATTGGAGCCTCTTGATTGCCAGATTGGAGCCTCTTGATTGCCAGATTGAAGACTGTTGATTCTTCTCTGTGTACAGACTGCGCCACCGTGGAGGAAGCAGGCAGGGCTAACATTTGTTCAGTTATTCTGATGGATGTTTCGGTACATATGTAGACATTCATTCATGTGTTATCTATGTTTATTTGAAAATAAATGTTTGATGCATTTGTCAAATGTTTCAAGTTTTTGTCGTGTGCACTAGGACAGTGAAATGCCCTTCTAGCTTGCTCTTTCCCTACAATGCAGTAATCAATATCAGTAGTACTATAAAAAATAACAGTAAAGTCAAGTAGAACAACCCAAGAAATAGAATTAAGAACACGAGAAAGTAAGATGTTAAATACGGGGGTCAGTTCCAGGGTCAGTTCCAAAACCATATTAACAATGTGCAGGGATACTGGAGTGATAGAGGTAGATACTGTATGTATAGGGGTAAGGTGACTAGGCATCAGAAAATATGATAAACAGAGTAGCAGCAACATATATGATGATTGTATGTGAGTGTGTGTAGAGGCAGTATGAATGTGTGTGTGTGTGTGAGTGTGCATAGAGACAAAAATAAAATAGAAGGGTCAATGCAGATCAATCAATCAAATGTATTTATAAAGCCCTTTTTACGTAGTCTTCTGTAATTCAGTTGGTAGAGCATGGCGTTTGCAACACCAGTGTAGTGGACTTGATTCCTGGGACCACCCATATATAAAATATATGCACACGACTGTAAGTCACATTGGATAAAAGCGTCTGCTAAATGGAATATATTATTATTATATTACATCAGCAGATGTCACAAAGTGCTTATACAGAAACCCAGCCTATAACCCCAAACAGCAAGCAATGCAGATGTACAGTGCCTTGCAAAAGTATTCATCTCCCTTGGCGTTTTTCCTATTTTGTTGCATTACAACCTATAATTTAAATGGTTTTTTATTTGGATTTCATGTAATG